CCAAGCCACACGTTATAAATTAATTTAAGGTATAGAAGTTATTTTTTATACTCGTTTTTTTTTTTACCTTGGGATTGTTTGTTAATTACAGAAATTAGAGGCTAACTATCGAAACCTATATTTGTAGGCGAGACACAAAAAGGAAAGAAATACCTGCATACTTTTGAAATGTGTCGCTAATTACTAATTAGAATATATTTTCAAAGAAACTAAAATTATTTGAAGGAAAAACAAACAGTGAACGTCTAAAAAGTTAATTCCTCTGTTATCATCTCATTATCTTTTCCCGTTCGTGCCCAACACACTTGGAGCAGATGAAGTAGAGTTCATCTGTTTCAGGGACCTCGGGATAGTGTGGTCAACACTATATCCAGCGGCCTTTGTTTCCCTAATGTGAGTTAGGTACCCAACAGAGCTGGGTGGACTCTTGGACTCAGCTTTCTACCACTAGGCCACACCATCCCCGCTGTATTTGACTGTTTCTTGAACTTTCAGTAGATGTTGTTCTGTACATTACCCTGTGTGTGATTATAAGAGTTATATTTTTACTACATTTATTGTACTTTTTATTGATGTAAGTTTTTCAAACTATATTTTCTGTGTAGGTGACGTTCCGTACAAGAATCTACCACTGTAACATTAACAGCCAGGGTGCCATTTGTTTAGATATTCTTAAAGACAACTGGAGCCCAGCCCTCACTATATCAAAGGTAAAGGGTTAATGGTTTTCTGCTTTATTCACTATATCAAAGGTAAAGGGTTAATGGTTTTCTCTTTCATTCACTATATCAAAGGTAAAGGGTTAATGGTTTTCTGTTTCATTCACTATATCAAAGGTAAAGGGTTAACGGTTTTATGTTTCATTCACTATATCAAAGGTAAAGGGTTAATGGTTTTCTGTTTCATTCACTATATCAAAGGTAAAGGGTTAATGGTTTTCTGTTTTATTCACTATATCAAAGGTAAAGGGTTAATGATTTTCTGTTTCATTCACTATATCAATGGTGGGGGGGTTAATGATTTTCTGTTTCATTCACTATATCAAAGGTAGGGGATTATCTGTTTCATTCACTATATCAGAGGTGATGGATTATTAGTCTTATTTCACTCACTATATCAAAGGTATAAAAAAAAGTGATGTTGTTTCATTCACTAAATAAAAAGGTGGTGTTCTGTTTCATTCACTATGTCAAAGGAAACTTGGAAAGTAATACAATACTCTTTCATTTAGCCATACATCAGTTTAAAAATGTAACGAAGACAGTACATTTTTCTAATGTTGTGTTAATGTTAAGAAAATTGTATGTTTCTTTTTTTTCTATTTTTATATGAATGCTTAAAATATTTAACCCTTTTATAACATTAATAAGACGTTACAGCTATATGTTTCTTCCATTAGCTCTTTTGTTTAAATAACTAATTTTAGTTTTAATAATACCCTGTCTTTGAACGTTATTTTTCTATTTTTGATGAATATCTAAATCTTTTAAAAAGCGTTCATTTTTTAAAAATCCTCTATTCCAAAATGAGCTTTGGGATTAAATATAAATAGGGGTTTTTCTCCTTAGTTACTTTTATCAGTGTGTTCACTACTGATATTTTTCTCCCCTTAGGTACTTTTATCAGTGTGTTCACTACTGATATTTTTCTCCCCTTAGGTACTTTTATCAGTGTGTTCACTACTGATATTTTTCTCCCCTTAGGTACTTTTATCAGTGTGTTCACTACCAATATTTTTCTCCCCTTAGGTACTTTTATCAGTGTGTTCACTACTGATATTTTTCTCACCTTAGGTACTTTTATCCGTGTGTTCACTACTGATATTATTCTCCCCTTAGGTACTTTTATCAGTGTGTTCACTACTGATATTTTTCTCCCCTTAGGTACTTTTATCAGTGTGTTCACTACTGATATTTTTCTCCCCTTAGGTACTTTTATCAGTGTGTTCACTACTAATATTTTTCTCCCCTTAGGTACTTTTATCAGTGTGTTCACTACTGATATTTTTCTCCCCTTAGGTACTTTTATCAGTGTGTTCACTACTAACGGACTGCAACCCAGCTGATCCACTGGTGGGCAGCATAGCCACACAGTACCTGCAGAACCGCAAGGAGCACGACAGAGTGGCGCGCATGTGGACCAAGAGGTTTGCCGCGGGCCTCAACAGTTAGTTGTCTGCCCACCCCCGGGGTGTTACATAGGTAGAAAAAAAAATAATCTGAATCCAGGGGTGAGAGTGTTGAGGGTGTCAGCGACAGTGTGTCATGTGTCAGTGTGTTAGTGGTGTGTGATTCAGTGTCATAGTGACAGCATTGTGAGGATAGTTATTTAATGGCTGACAGTTTCATGATGTCATAAGAGTGTGGGGACAGGGTTGTGTGATGTGTTAATGATGCCATGATGATGTGGGGCAGGGTTGTGTGATGTGTTAATGATGTCTTGATGATGTGGGACAGGGTTGTGTGATGTGTTAATGATGTCATGATGATGTGGGACAGGGTTGTGTGATGTGTTAATGATGTCATGATGATGTGGGACAGGGTTGTGTGATGTGTTAATGATGTCATGATGATGTGGGACAGGGTTGTGTGATGTGTTAATGATGGTGTAGAAAAGTTTGTATGATGTGTTTATGAAAACAAAACTGATGTATTAAAAAAGGATTTTCGTGTGACTGAAAATTTCGGAATTTCAATTGGTCAGTAGTTGTTTTAAAATTTAACTTGATCCTGTAAATGTTATTTTAAGTGGAATTTGAATGGTCAATGATTGTTTGCATGATGAATGTTGATTGGTCCCTAGCTGTTTGAAAATGGAATTTGATTAATCAATGGAATTTTTTTAAAGAGAAATTTCATTGGTCATGGAATAATTGAAGTACATTTGTTTAGGTTTTATGAAATGTGTGTACATTTTGAATGTAATTTTGCCACTAATGTAATTCAAGTTAGAATTTTTTAATAGATGTAATCTCCTGTAAGATTCTTTTTTTTTTTGGAAACCTGGTTTCCTTGTTGCAACTGACAGACAAGAAAGATAACTCCTATATAAAATAAATAGTCTCACTTGTGATTAAATTATTTTTAAACTGTTAAGTAAAATCTGGAATATGTTAAATTAAACAAAATGTGTATCTATATAAAACATAATTATTCTCTGGGCATTTGGTGTAATTAAGTTCTGTTTTGAAACAGTAAACTTTAGAAAAAGTAGACAACTTTTTAAATTCTAAATTTTTTTAATTGAAATTAGCTTGTATTTTAACATAATTTCCAAATAATTTATAAATATAGTGTCTTTTTTGTTATGTATTTGAGAATTTTGTTTTGTTGTATGAAATTTAAGTTTGTATTTATCGCCATAGCTTTAAGTAACATAATTTTATTTTTTTAAACAACCAATCAAATCCAGGGGTTTAATTTAAAATGCATTTCATTACATCACATGATATCAATAATATTTTGTGTTTGCATTTGTTTTGTTTTTTTAATTTGCATTTTGTTTTGTCATAAAATCAGTGATACATATTCATGATTCTAGTTTTTTAATTTATTTGTGTCTTAGAATAGAACACCAACTGCTTCTGTGTGTTGTATTTGAGACAATCAAATTTATGTTGTTTGTGAAAGCTGGACTCAGATATTTGCTGAGCTAGTGGGCAGTTGATATGAGTTTGTTTTCATTTTTTTGGGGGTCAAACAAAATGGAGGAACAAAATTTTACCTGTTACTATTTAAGTACAACATTTTTCTTTGTAGATCTATAAGACTTAAAAGTTATAGAACAAAATTTAATATTTGCAAAATAATTTGAAAAAAAGGGGAAAAAACTTGTATTTCTTTGTTTTTGGTTTTTTTTCTATTAAAAAGCATACATTTTTTTATTGCTGAATATAAATTATAATTTTCTCCATCTGACAAATGTTGTATATATTATTATCCTACCCTATTGCATGGTTTAACCAGGTCCAGTAGATTTGATATCTACATTACAGAATCCTTCTCCCCCCCCCCCCCTTATATTAGTCATTTTATTATTTGAATACCTAAGAACACAAAGTGAAAAAGTTATGGTTTTAAATGATAATTTCCTCTATTGGTGAATTCTACTAAGTTGAAAAAATCCCAGTCACATTTTAAAGTTTTTTTTAGTGCATAATTAAAAAAAATTATAGAATTTCTTATAGAGTTCTAAAATAGTACTACTTGCTATATGGCCATAAATCACAACTTTGAAGTTATTTTTTTTTGCAAGTTTTTTTTTTTCAAGTTGTTGACTCTTTTCAAATCTGTTTTTCCTTACTTTAACTGAATTGAAATAATTCTCACAATCTTAATTATATAAAATGGGGTTGAGTTTTAAGTGTAAGATTGAAAATTGATGTATTGATTTTTTTTTTGTTGCTATGCTTTGGGGATTCAAGTTGAGAATCTAATTCTTACAGTTAAAACAAAGATTTTAAGTAAAATTCCTAATAGTTTAGTTGATAGTTTTATTTATAATATATGAAAAATATTTTTTTTCAAAAGAATTTTTTTTATCAGTATTTGTTTTTTTCTGATATATATGTTTAAAAAGGGATAAAATAATTATCTATTACATTTGTTTTTACAAGATCATTATGTCATGATTTCCTTACTCTCTTACTGATGACATCTTGTAAATCATGACATTCATCCTCACTCTACCCTGACAAAAGTGTAAAGTATACAAGGTTTTGTTTTCTTATGTTTAAATCCTTTTTGTGTGCACTTGTACAGTGCATATATTACATATAAATATATATATATACCTTGTGAATAAATAAATGAATTTAAAAAAGATGCTTTAATTTGTTCAATTTTTTATAAGTGTGGCCCATTTTGCAATAGTTTTTTTTAAAACAGAAACATATGTATGTAATACTATGTACAGTTTTTATAATTTTTATGATTAACCATAACACCACCATGGCATTTTCACTTGATTTGAGATACACGTAGAAAAATTAAGATAAATCATTACAAATTTTACTAAATAAATAAAAACATGGCTACTTAAAAAAATATAATTCAAATCAAGTTCTGTTAAAAGTATTTTATTCCATTTTTTCACATTTTCATTTTTTTTTCACGATTGCCTGCAATGTTAATTAATAAAATTGTTAATAGCGTATACAATTTAAAAACACAACACAGAATAATCATTGTATATTTCAATGCAATATTTAGTTCTATTTGCCATGAACCTTAAACCAGCTGGAACCACTACAGGCACCACGTAAACAACTAGCATTACCACCACCACTACCACAAACAGACTGCGAAAAAAGGAAGCATAGGTTGGCCAGATTAATACTTCTCTGAGTATTGTGAAACAATACTATCTACGTTGTGTTAATAATAAATCTGCGACTAAGCCAAGTCACGATGTGATAAGCAGAAACTGACACAATGAGTAAAGCTTTCAGGGTAGCAACAAGTTTTCCATTTTGTATGAGAGTGCAAATAATGTTATTCAAGGGTGTATATAAATATCCAAGTAAAAAATCATGTGGTTTTTGAAGGGAGGATAAACAGAAACAGACTTAAAAAATGAATATTTAAAATAAAATATTAAATTATTTAAGCATGCATTAAATTCGTTTTGATATCCAATTTTAAAAATGCAACTAGTTTTAATGAACAGCGCAAGTGGTATTGTCAAAATAGTCCTCGGATGGGTAGGGTTTTGCTTGTTTAAAATGTAAACAAAGATTTGAGCACAAGTAGCAATACACTTGTTTAATGTACTCTAGACAACATCAGTGACACCTCTACATTCAGCATCAATACTTGACAGCTGGGATTGTCACCCTAACCAGTGACATGTCACTCAAATGACAGTTACCCTGACCACTGACATCAGCAACCAGATGACACATGACATCCCAAAACACTAATGTTCATAAACCCCACAACTTTTTTTTTTGCTAAATGTTTGAAGAATAGCACACTTGGTAAAGAAAAAAAAAATTGAGATTCACACAAAGCTAGCCAAGCTTACAAAGATTTATACAAATACTGAATGCCTGTCTGACTCACACAAACTACACTAAATTTCATTACAAAAACAATAACCTTTAAATAAGCACGCAGTAGGCTACCCCATGTCCCATCACTATACAAACTTTAAAGGGAAATTTTGTTCAGGATTTCAACTTAAAAGGATTTAAAATACTGTAGAAATACACAAGAAAGAATTGTTTTCTTGTCTTGGAATTATTAATTGTGAGCTTTTATTTTTTGTTCTATCCACACACTTTTAATCAGCCAATTTTTATATACTGGTTCCCAATATGGGACAGAACTCTTTGGCCAGTAGGCATATAGATCAAGGTGGATGCATTTTAAATAAGTTTGATAAAAAAATTTACAGACAAAAAAAATCTTACAGAAAAAAATTCTTGTTTTGAAAATTGTGTTTGCATGCTGGAATACCTTTGTGGTCGCTTGAACACAACACCTCGTTAGTTAATGCCATTGACTGACTTGTAAAATCATTTAAGTTTTAGGTAACAGCATTTTAAGATATTAACTAAGGAATAACCACTTTAAAATTTATAGGGTAAATTTTATTTTTTTTATATTTTTTCCAAGTAGCCGTTCTTTAATAACCTTTAATAGGATGTATTATCCAAAAGTCTGAAAATTCTTATTTTCATATTAATCATCAATTTGTAAGAAACTGGAGAAACTAAGTGAACTTTGTCATTTTGATTATCTATAAGAAAAATAAAACAATGTGAAACACTAATTACTAAAAATAGCTTCATAAAAATCAACTTTTAGTTGCATCAAAAAATGTGCCTTCATAGCTTTCATTTTCAAATACAACAGGCAAATATAGAGTTTATTCAATAGCATTTATTTACAATGAAATACACATTGAAACAGTTGTAGAAAAATAAGTAAATGCTGACAGCCATATTGGTTTTTTAAAAAGCATTTCCATATTTTAAACAAAATAAAATCACAAATTGCTAAAAATTGTCACACAGCACCTAACAATGTGCAGCTGTTGTTTAAAAATATCGCGGCATGAAACAGATACCCCATGGCTCAACAGCTAATTGTTTATTAATCAAATGCTTAGAAGTATCACAAGCATAGCAAACTACTACTGAGAAATGCAGTTTTCCATCATTAATAATGTTCAATTTTTATATAATAGTGTATAACCATTCAAACAATGATCTAAATGATAATAAGCTTAGCATTAAACACACCAAATGCCTCGGAAGATTCACAAGGTTGTTTTAGTGGGTTAATAGGAACACATCAATGCTATGATCAGGTTAAAGCGTGCCTTCATTTTTTTTGTGAGGGAAAAAACGGTGAATATTAAACACAAGTGGATTTAATAATATACAGTAAACGGGTGATAAATCAGATGGTTCACATCTAGCTATAAAAAGATAACAGGATAGAAGTCTACACCCAATAGATGATGTCTAATTTTACCCACAGCAGTTTCAAAATTTTGGTAGTTCTCTCCATGTAACAGATTTATTATGTAGACTAGTTTTAAAAAAAAAAAAAACAATAAATAAGCAAGTTAGGAAATATAGGTGATATAACACTGATATAACATCACAAAGATAATGTGCCACAAGAGCTCAGAATAAAATATTTTATACTTCAAATTAAGCTTAAACTTGTTCCTCATTCTGCTGAAATTTGGATAGATTTGTGTCATCTCCTCATACATATAAGGGAGGTAATTCTCATGCTATGGTGGATAATGAAGCAAAGAAAGATAATCACAGACACAAAACAAAACAAAACTCTGGACCTGCAGACAAGTAAATTAAAAATAGAAGCTTTGTAAAACAAAGCTAAACATGAAAAATATTAACAAAAATTATTACCCATCACATAACTAAAAATACTACTTAAACTACAACTTGTTCTAAAGATGCCCCCCAACCAAATAGTGCACACCCGTTACAGTAATAACAACAATCACACATTCTAATTTCACTAGACAAAGATATTTGTTTACAAATAATTTAAAATTTGGCAAGAGAGACTATTGACATTCTGACTGTATTAACACTCATCCTGTTCAGCAAAAGAAGTATAAATGACAAATATAACAAATGAATGATTCTGTACATGTCTACTGGTAATGGAAACTGGCGCAAAACAAAAATGTTATAGAACATTATGTATAGAAGGGGGAAAAAATCTGATAATATTGAGCTCATTGAGTACCTAAAATCTAAAAACTAACATAACCTTGAGACAACAAAATGGTTGCTATACTACCAATGTAAAATATTCACATATGTACAAAGTATCGCACAGAAAGACAGGAGCATAACTTCACGTATGCATAAAATCCAGCAGGGTCTTCCTGCCTCGTACAAACGTAAAACAACATAAAATAAATACAACCATGACTTAGCAGTAGAAGAACTAATGTACAATAAAATGTCACCCGTCACAACTGTTATAGTCCATGTTAAAGGCCAAGACATTGACATATCTTTAGCCGTATCAAGTGCCACGTACAACTTTGTCCATTGATGTGTTTTAACAGCATCATTATGTATGTACAGGGAAGTAACTGTCCGATGTCACAGATGTCTACCACAGGGGCCAGAGGTCATGATAAAATAGCTTTTGCTCGATGCCGTGCCCACATATGACCATCGAGTGAGGCTATACGTCTGCGGTTCTTCCGGTGCCATAGCCTCAGCTTGTCTTCACATACACTTGACAATGCCTAAAGTCAATAAGATATGTGACTTAAGAAATTAGAAAAAGTGATTTCAGAAATTAGGAGAGATTATTTCAGACAATTAGGAATTAGAAAATGCTGCCCTTAGAAAAAGAGGAGTTACATTAGACAAGCTAAGATAACACACACACACAAAAAAACATTTTTAATGCCTAATTTAAAAGAATGCTAGACTATAGAACACTTATCTTATATTTAATATTGATTTTATTTATATTAAAATATTTCATTACAATTACATTATTTTTTAAAATTTAAAATGCCAAGGCTTTGTTTTTATGACATAGGTAAGCTAGGTAAAACTTAAGTAAATTCAATTATATTAAGATGTTTTTTTGAATGAATGAAAATGAATACCTCTAATTTCAGCGCCCTTTCCTTATCCAGTGGTTCCGGTGGGTAGACTATTTCATGAGCGTCAGCCAGTGCTCTCAGATCAAAGTAATATTTAGCATAGACACTAGAAGGTACATTGATGTTAAACTGTAGAAGTTCCAGCACTTGTCTCTCTAATTCATTCCTAGTCAAAGGATTTAAAATAGTTTTAGTTCATACACACACAAAAATGATGTCCATAAAAATATAAATTATGCTATTTGTATTTATAAATAACTATCAAAACAAAGGGGCAGTAAATCATTAATCAAACCGGTTCAATAAATTATAAAGCTCCAAATTATGTTTAAATACAAAAATGAAAATAGCCATTATGTAATAAAATGTCTAAATTTCTAGATTTTGTTGCTTTAAAAAATAAGCAACCTTGGAATGGATCAGAAATATGTTAATATGATAAAAGGGATAATACTAGCAATGCAGAAAGAAAAAAAACACAGGAAAACATCACATAACAAAGGTTCTTTCTCAATACTTATATGATGTATCACCACTCTCACATATACAGAAAAAAGATTACTCAGCTATGTTGCACTTACATATCATCTACTTGAATATCTTTAAGAATCTGGCAGAAATCCACATTCCACACAGCCTGATCGTCCCAGACCTTTGATGCTAGAATAATGGCACCCAGGACCATCCTCTTCCAATTACCAGGATTGATATCGATTTCAGAATAAGTTAAGAGACGTTCCAGATAAACCTAATAACAAAAGAACATCAATTAATCTTGCAAAATATCGGAATCTCTAATTTGTTTAGGTAGAGCATCAACTCTTTAGACTTAGCGATCCAATGGACAGATGAAGTAGTTCATGTACAGGGATGTGACCAGACCAGGAAAAAAAATTAGGAAATTTTCTTCAATATGTTTTATCTACTTTTTATCGCGGTTAAGCAACTTCATACCGCAGTTAAGCAGCTTCATACTGTTACTGTACTAATTAATTGTTTAATGAAGTTAATATTTTTAATACAAGAAGTTTATGTTACTCTAAAATATTTAACATTGAAAGTCTTGTCTAATTGCAATTTAATGTTTACCTTATAAACAACTTTTTAAATATTACAATGGAACAAAAGTAGCAACTAAGTTTTATTTTACAATTAAGCTAATTTTAAACTGTACTAATCTAGTGTACATTCTAGATGTACTCCTGTTTTCAATTTTAAATAGGGGGCCTAATGCCTTATATTCTTTTAAAGATTGGATTGGTAAAAATATTTGTCTTCGACTGTAAAGAGCCTAGATTAAGATTAGTTATAATTTGAAAGTTTTAGGTTCATGTGATGGAAAAATGACTGGACCAGGTTAGCTAAAATTAGAAAGGGTCTGACGTGTGAACCAAAGTTAATCATTTTGATACCCAAGCCATATCGATGTTTATGTTTTTTTGGAATAAATGTAAAGTTGTTTTTTTTGACGATATTTACCTCCCCTCTCTCCGACAAAAGCCAGACTCCCCCCATCCCCCACCTATAATGACGTCACACCTCAGCCATCAAATGCTCCCCCCTCCCTCGAAATTAATTTGATTTTTTTTTTTAAACATCGATTTTTTTCTAAAATATTGACTGAGGTCGACCAACAAAGGGTATTTTATTCAATCTCTATTACAATGCTTTACAACAGTTTTGTAATAGCGGCTAAAATGCAGTTGTTTCTAACATTACTTTTTTAAAATACAAAAATATGACGCACTATCTTACGAGTGTGACGTTATTTATGGAAGACCTCTGAACGTATTTTTTCTTCCACAAACAAGACACGGTCGTAGTCACGTTGAGTTTAGTAAAAAAATTTTTAATCTGTAGGCCTACGAAGCATACGTATTGCAGGAACAGCTATTTGAAATTGACTGTGACGTCATTTTTTTTCCCCACAAGCAGTACCGAACACGTACTTGGGGTCAAGGTGAGGTCACAAGAGCCACCGTTGCTACGAGGTGGGGCGGGTTAGTCAAGTCCTTTTGCAAGGATTTCAATATTAATTTGAGATTGCGAAATAAAATAGAATCAGAGAGAAACTCTAGATTTAGGCGGGTTAAAATACCGATAGGTAAATTAGGCTATATCGATAGCTAGATAACCAGGCTTAAGAGATGTCAGTTTCATTTGAATAACTGCATTATTTTAGATTACCTTTTCCCCGTCTTTTTGATAAATAGTAAACTGAAAATAGCGGAAAATTTGGACTAAAAAAAGTGTGCTTTGAAAAATTCGAAAGTCCGCCGATATTTCGAATCTTAATCTACATTTAATCTTGATCTAGTACTGTCGGACCTAGCACAATCGACCAATCGAAAAGAAATGCGCACATTCGAGTGTCCGTTTGACTTAAGTATAGTACAGTAGTTGTCAATTTAAATTTAAATACGAATAAGTGGAATGAGCATGTCGGCCCTTTCCGTAGAAGACATTTCCGTTTTTTTTTCCTAATTTTTAAAATTTCGTAAAAAATCGACAAAAATTGAAAGTCGGCGGAAAAATTCGGCGAAAATTAAATCAGCGGAGGAAAATCGCAACTGAAACGGAAAAATCGGATTTCCGCTAAAATTCGGAAAAGTCACATCCCTGCATGTATTCCTTGCCTCAGCTTTCGAAGGGATGGTGTGGTTAGCACTATGCCCAGTAAGACAGGTACCCATCAGAGCTGGGTCGACTCTGTGACTTCCTAAAGTCACAAGTCTGAACTGAGAGCCAATCTCGAGACCTTCAGACTAGCGCTCTACAATCTGACCATGCCGTCCCATCTACCAAGTAACTAAATTACAAATGTTAAATAAAAAGATAAATCTAATGTGATACCCACCAATGTCACAATTGCACACTCTGCTGTCAGCTGGGCAGCATTGAAGAGATTACGAACAAAGCGATAAATTATTTTGTGTTCCGGGTCACGCTTTTGATAGTCATCGGGTACAGGATCCTTCTATAAGTAGATATAAAATAAACTAATTTTAACACCTAGAGCAAAGTCACCAAAAGGAAAGTTTTGAACCAATTATCCAATAATTTTTCAGTCTTAAAATCAAAAATTTACACCTGTAAAGTAAAAGGAACCTATGCCATAGGTAAACATATTAATTTATTAAACATATCAATCTGAATTATAAAATGCTTTAAGCTAATGAAATTGTATTACACTACTATAAGACAAATAACTGGAAAGTCGATCCATGAGCACTACAACTATAAATTGTTTTTGCCGAATTTGTTTGGTAAAGTCTTTTAAATGTATTTACATTTTACAAAATTAAAACAAAGTTAAAAGTACATGTGACCAAAGTAAAAGTAGTAATCTATAGAAATAGGAGTATAGTGCAAGTCTAAAAATATAAACAACAAAGCCCCTCTACAATTATTAATCAATGATAATGTACTCACAGAAAGTGGGTGAGCTTTCTCATCAAAGATCTGTAGAATATTTGGCTCAAGTGCGGCCAGACTTTGCTCTTTCTCCTCGTCTAAAGGTGCACGGTTACGGATGTGAAAGAAAATAGCCAGGGCAACAGATTTGATGGTCGTCTTTAAGTTGGGCTGTGAGACAGTGGAGTCATCCATGTAAATGGTGGAGCAGGAACTAAACTTGCGCAGTTGGCCAAACTCATCCACCTAGAAAAGCAAACAGGTATGGAATTAGAAAAAAAAAAGCTTCATTTCTGAGCAGCATATTACAAATAAAAAACAAAAACACAGAATGTTGTGTTAGTAACCAGATGTCAACAGTCCACTTGTGAGTAAACACTTACATGATGTTTATGGCCTGAGTGTGTGAGAATCATCTGACTCCTCCTGCGCAAGCGGTTATCTAAATAAAGAAAAACATGTATCAACCTAAAGGAGATAAAAATTGTATCTATTGGTTATCTAAATAAAGAAAAACATGTATCAACCTAAAGGAGAAAAAAATTGTATCTATTCCCCAATACTAATGCCAAAAGCAAATAGTATAAATTTCTTATGGCACAAAGAGCAATCAATGTCATACTTACTAACTATTCAAGGGTAAATAAAATCAAACAAAAATAATGTCCTTACTTCTTTGTATTTCAGATTCAGACTTTGTAGAAAATATTGGTTTAGCTCCTGGGTGACTGGACGGATCTTGATCACTTTCTGTTTGGATACATTAAAAAAACATTAAAAACAGTTAACATTGGTACTGCTAAAACTGGTGGCAATCAGATGAGTAGTAAATGAGTAGTAAAAGTAATGTCTATTTCTAATGCATATGTATTAGTATCTATCACCCATTTTCATAAGATGTTAAAGATTTAAAGTACTCACTTTAAAAATGTTACGTATTGAATTTTACTGTAAAAGCGAAGTTTTGTTTCTATGACTAAAAACTACTATTACAATTGCAATATTGCAATAAATTTTGAAAAATTTATTATTTATTTAGAATAATTTCAAAGCCCTCATTTTTACTAACAGTGCCCTACTTGTGAAAATTGACCCTAAAAGTAAAATGTATAACAACATGATACATTTTTTACTTTATCTGTAATTGTGTTGTAAAAAAAAAAAGTTAGCTCAAAATTCTTGTCATAACCCACCTTCTGGCTCTCGTTCACTAATGTGAGGTACACCACCAGACATGGTTGCTGTGGGTGGTGGCTGCACAGTGTTGACGCCCTCTTCTTCGACCGTTGAACCTGGCTGCTGATATACGTACACATTTTCACTTTTTTTGCCGCGATTTTTGGGACTGTGATACACACAGCACGAATTTTTGTTCCCCATGACAAACAGTATGTGTTTGATTGGTCAACACTCAATATGAGCTTTGGTCAGTGATATGGGTGAAGAGTTCACAGAGAAGTTTAGCATGCTTGTTGATGGATTACATATCTATGATGAAAACAATCTTTAGATGTTTATAAAGTTCTGCTGTTAGAATCAGCATCTCCTCACTACAAAGCAGATTCTGTAAGTTAAAAATTTCTTACATTAATTTCAAAATTATATGTAATTGCATTAAGAAAAAGAAAATTAAAACTCAGGAGTTTGATAAATAAAATTATAATTGGTGACATGGCATGGTAACGTAACGGCAAAATTTCCAAAAAGCAAATAGTCAAGATATTTTTTAAATTACATCCTATAACTATAATAATAAAATCAATTCTAATGCAAATTGATATGTTGGATCATTGTCAAAGATGCTTTGTCAAGTGAGGGAGATTTGTGAGGAAGTTATTTGTGGCTTTAAGATCCTTAATGAAAAAGTTAGGCATACACTTTTTTGTGTGTTAGAAACAAAAATAGAAAATAGTGAATAGCCTATTATGTATTTTGTTATGACATGCTTAAAGAGCAAAGAGGGCATGATGTTGTGTTAACTTTTTTCCTCAACTTAACCACTTTTATTCTATGAGAATGTTAGCACTAAAGCTAATCAAATTAATTCAAATGGATCCTGTTTTTACATGATATCAGATTATGTAATTTAACACTTATCCAGTCAAATTTTTTTAATTTGAGATTTTTAGTATGTAAAATAATGTAAATGTAAGCAGAACTTTAAACAATTTTTAAAAAGTACTGTCTGATAATGAAAGTCTCATTTTCACATACTTTGAGTTTTGTTGGACCATAAGGATTATGTGGTTGAGGGGGTGTGGCACATCGCAATTGGAGCTTTATATTTCTGTGTTTTATGACTATATTTGTACACAATCAGCATCCTATGCTTTTTAAATTGATAAAGGGTAAGTATATCAAGTTACAAAACCTGCAATCTAACTAATAATTCATACTTTTTAGTTTCAGTTTAAAAAATAATAAAAACGATCATCAATGAAAAAAGTGTAAACATTCTATTTTTAGGAATGACATAAAAAACAGTTATAAATCTAGCTAAATGATTGGATTATTGCTCGGCACTTTTTTTCCCGTGCCTCGTTTTCAGCAAAAGAGATTATAATAAAATGGCATTGTTGAGGGTTGATCATTTTCACAGAGCTCATCTCATAAAGACCATAAATTATTATCAGTTAATTGTAATGTGTGTAAAAGTAAAATTAATGCTTTCAAGTTTTAAGTAGGCCTCTATTTGGTTTGAAAGACAAGAAGAAAATAGAGCTAGATTTGGTAAGGCGCCGTTTGTGAGACAAAGAAATTAGGTCAAAAGTACACCTAACAATTCTTAAATAACATACTTAATATCACTTAAATATAAAGGATAGTTCCGATTTCTAAAATTGATGACGGCTTCATAATCATTAATTTTATCCCTCTACTGCATAGTGAAATTGAAACTGGACGCCATTTTTAGTAAGCGCATGGGCCGTGAGAGGCCACAAAAACAACAAACCCGGAAGCTGTGAATTGAACTGCCTAATTTTTAGTTCATTGTATATTTTAATGAGAAAAAGTATTTGGCGGATTCTAGCTGGAAAAAGATACGCATGCAGAATGGAGAGAAACTACCGCCTTCGTTAGTGGCGATGTTTTCTGTGGTACTGCGCATGCGTGTATTTACAACCACAGAACCCTAAAGTTTCCCTTTCAAACCTGGCGGTCTATGGGGCAATTGAAGTAGAGTTCACTTGTTTCTGTGACCTCGGCATATGAAGAGATGGTGTGGTCAGCACTATGCCCAGCTGCCTTTACTTTCCCTAACGTGAGTTAGGTACCCATCAGAGTTGGGTGGACTCAGGGACGGTCTACTGACTTGAACCCGGATTCAAACTCGAGACTTACGGGTTAGCAGTCCAGCTCTCTACAGGCTAGACCACTCCGTCCCATAACCCAAACCCTAGCTCAGCTATTAAGGTCACAGCGCATGCGTAGAACTATCTTTTGCCGACCAGTTGGAGACGCTGGGGTGAAAAATCTTTTTCCTAGTAGTCACTTGGAAAGTATTTTGATCTAAGTTTGTGCTATTATTAGCTGTGTAAATGGAAAAAATGCTAAAACAACCATGCAACAAAAAATAATTAGGCCTAGGCCTACAAAGTGTGTAAGACTGTGATGTGGGGGTAAAATTTGAGACAATTTGATGCTGGATCTAAATCTACATTCTAATCTAGAGTGAGTCCTAGACTCTAGCTAGAGCTAAAAATTTGAATAAAGAATCTAGAAATCTAGATCTAGATCTAGATCTAGAGTAGATTTCCTCACGCGGTCAAAGCCATATTGCGATCACATTCCCGTTTTCGCTTCGTAAAATAATTGTTTGGATGCTTTATACGAAACTACCGGTATCTGCTGTAAGCATGTCCATTTCTAAATATATCCAGGTCAAATTCTTTTGTTTTCTCCTTCTGGAAGACAAGTTTTTAAATTTTTAAGTTGAGGTATGACGTCAACCGGTGATCCCAGTTCCCCCGGATGAAAGCACTAGGTCCGGGATGAGATGAATAAAACTAACCAATCAAAGCTGTTTATAATTAGGTTAACTATAAATAGCTTCTACATATGTGTGGGACACTGTAAATACTATAGCTAAGGCTACTAAAGCAACCTGAGAGGTCAAATGGGGGTGATCGCAGCTGGGCTGACGATTCGGGTCGTTTTCCTCGCTGCGTAACCAATGACTTGAGCTAGACTAGCCTAGATCTAGATGCTCTATATTTCAAGCTAAGTCTAGAATATGTATAGTTTATACATTATTCTGTGGTTTTAAATTATTTCGATCATCTACTTCTTCTAGAACTAGTTTGTGTCTCCATATACAAGCATATCTAAGCAAATGTTAGGTTTTGTCTTGTTAGTAATTGTTACGTCCCTTTGTTATGATTATTAAAATTGCGTCCCTTGAGTTATCACTGGGTCATCCGTGATGTTTTGTTAATAAATTTAATTAAAGTATTTTTTATTTGGTTTTGCAGTCTATTAATTAATAATACAATCAACAACACGTTTAAAAGTGTAAATTATTTATTTTAGCTTTTAAAATTGGATCAAAACGTAAAAAACTACGCTTGTTACGCAACAGGAAAATGTGACCGCCGGCAAGAAAAAAAAGGGGGAAAAAATATCGCAAGCAGGCACGTCACTAAAACTTGAATATCTCAAATATTATGCGTAGGAATACAAAATGATTTATAAATATTAGAGTAGAATGGCAGCGGAATAACACGGTACTTTCAGTTTGTTTCTGTGTGAAACGGGTACAAAATAGCGCCCGATGAAAATCGGGAGTTCGGATTTTTTTGCTATGTGTGACCGCGTTAGGAAATCTACTCTAGATCTAGATTCTAGAACTCTAGCTCAGCTTGTCTAGCTAGATCTAGATTCTCTAGTAGACCATTTTAAACTTGTAGACATTAAATCTATGTCTGAAGAAAACCATTTAACGTATTGGTATCTCCCTAATTTTAGTCAAACAAAACAAATAAACTGTTTTGAACCAACCACAGAGAATTTGAACTCATTTCTTTATTTCTATCAAGACCCGGTCAGGAGCGGAAATGGAAAACATCCATTTTGAAAAAAAAAAGTGAATGCACTTCCGGGAAATAATGTAAGATTGCCAGGTATTATTTAGGTTTTAAATATTTTTTTGTGTGTAGGTATAATAGCCTATATGAAGCTTATCTATCTAGTATATGCTTTAATATGTTGGTTACACACTTTTATAGACAGGGCTATTTATTATTATAACTATTAAAAAATAAGTATTCATCACAATCATTACAAAAATTATTTTCAAACTTAGTATTTTGCTCTGTAGCAATTCCGCTAATTGTTTAAATTATAATTATACGCTTAATAAACAAAAATATATTTATATTTAAATTGCAGTGACGGCGTTTAATAAAAGCGTGTTCACTTAATTAAATATCAATAATCGATTTGATAATACTGCATACGATACGGTTCATGAAATGTCATACTGATTTAGGAAAATGGTTTGATTTAAAACGGTCAGCCTAGATTAAGTTTAATACAAACTTAATTTCATTAATAATTAATACACAGATAAGGTGTACTGGTTCTTAGATCTAACTGTCAATAAAGTATACTTTATTTTTTAAAAATGTTGTTCATTTTGTTACATATTTTAATAAAAAAAAGCAAGAATCAGGTTTAATAAATATTTCAACACAAGAATATTTGGTTTGGCATACACATGTAATTTTTTTACCATAGGTAACATTAGGCTAGCTGAAAAATACCCCGCGAATCAATGATGGTAATTGATGCCGATGTAGAAAATATGAGATACGTAAGTAGATATCTAGTCTAGATAAAATATCGAGTAACTAAAATCTGATTGTAATGATTCATAACCAAATAATGATTGGTAGTTTTTTAATTGCTCCTTGTGATTATTGAAATTTTTCGAAGGATGTTTGACTGTTTGACGTTTGTTAACACACCGAAACACACCCTATCAACTCGACTCGGATCATTTCTGCCATGTAGATCTAGAATCTAGATCTAGATCTAGATTCTAGGCCTAAATAATAAAATCATCATAAAAATATTGAAGAAACAGGTTGTGTTACTTGTCCACACCTCGTCGATTGTCATCGTAATTTATGATTAGGTTATGCTAGGGATTTTGGTAAAAAAACACTAATCATCATATAAAAATAAAAATTACATATTCTTGTAGAGCTCAACTATATGAAAACAAAACAAAAAAGATTTTCTGTCTAGCTCAAATAGTTTTTTTTTAGCGAATTTTTTTGTGAGGGGTGGAATGCCCTTGCTTTTGCATTGGCCAATTGTGACAAGTCATGGTATACCTGAATAAATTGAGCATAGTTATTTTACTTGCAGTTGTATTTTGTTCATAGTTGCAGAGTTGAGCTAGAATGATATATAGAACTTGTATATGCTGTTGAAATAAATAAAAATAATACAGAAGTATATTTTTGTGTTGGCTTCCTTCCATAACCCCAAAAAAACTGTGCTGCGCAAATATGAAAATGTTTCTAAAGCAATGTTTTACAGTGAATGAAAGAACTACAAAGTTAGCAATCTAAAGTAAATGACTTGAACACTGAAATGTGCATATAACTGCATATAACTACCCCATTATTTTGGGCAGGTGAAGTAGAGTCCATCTTTAAGACATTTTGTTATAAAACTGTGCTGCGCAAATATGAAAAAGTTTCTAAAGCAATGCTTTATATAAATACAGTGAATGAAAGAACTACATAGTTAGCAATCTAAAGTAAATGACTTGAACACTGTAATGTGCATATAATTGCCTTATTATTTTGGGCAGGTGAAGTAGAGTCTATCTTTAAGCCATTTTGTTAAAAGTGAACTGAAGTTATCTGATCAATGTTTTTATGTGTGTATTGTGTATGAATTCTGATTTTCAGCATACAAATATAACTAAGTAAGGGTAAGTAGAACTTGAATACTTAAAATTACAGTTAGCACATAGCTAGTGTAGTGTATTCTAGCAACAGACAGGTAACCTATGTCTGACTCAGCAAAATTTTACTTCAAGCAAAACTAGAACCAGAGTTGAAAAAATGAAAGACAGGTAGATCTATATTAAAATATGTTTAAAACAACAAGTAGGAGATTTGTTTGTACATTACATAAGAATACTGTTGTTAACTTGTTAGTGTATCAAAACTAAAAGCCGGCAGATCGGGATGAAGAAATATAACATTGGAGTCAATGGGGGCAACGTGACCTACTTACGGTGACTACTTTCAAATGAGTATTTACTAATGTCAAAGTCAAAATATCCAAAAATAAATATCATTTCTATAAAAATGGGATGTATCTGCTTTGGAAACTTTCATTATCTAAATGGAAACTTTTCAAAAATCGCGTTTTTAAAGCATTTGAAGTTAACCTTTATACCGCGGTAAGACCAAAGCAGAGACAGCATGCAATTAGATCGCTAAGCCATCAAAACAACTGGAAAACCATTCTACTTTTCATTTAACATTAGGAAATGACCTTTTAAACTTAATTAATTACCATAAATTAAAAACTTATTAGTATGCAAAACTAAATCTCGTGCGCCCGGTATCAGAAAGTAATGGGAGATTTCGGGTCATGTTTTTACCGCGATCTCGGCCGATACCGACAAGCCTAGTTATGCTATAGCTCATAGTTTCATTTTAGAACCTTTAATATCTAGATCTAGATTCTAGAAATCTAGATCTAGTAATATCTTGATCTAGGGCCTAATAAAAATTAATATTTATTTTACGAAGTGACTACTTGGAAGAAGATTTTTCTCCCCAACGTCTCCAGTCCACTTAGTCGGCAAAAGATAGCTCTGCGCATGCGCAGTGACCTGTGGCTAGGGTTAGGGCTAGAATGAGGGGTAGGGTTAGGGATAGGATTAGGGCTAGAGTTAGGGTTTGGGATAGGATTAGGGTTGGTGTTAGGGTTCTGCGGTTGTAAACACACGCATGCGCAGTACCATCGAAAACATCGCAGCGAAGGCAAGTCGTAGTTTCTCTCCATTGCGCATGCATATCTTATTCCGGCTAGCATCGGCCTTTATTTTATTTAGCCTAGGCCCTATTTATTTAGCCTGAATGAGAAATGATTGATTAAAATTGATTGTATCCTAATACTAATTACTAGTTATAGTAATTGAGGGGGTGGGGAATTTTATACCAGTGTCCAATTAAAATTGTTATAATTATTCATAGAATCTTCTTAAAAATTGGGTGTAAGGCAGTGTAAGGTTACTGGTAGTTAACAAAATACACACATAGCGTGCTAATGTCAATGCTATCCCTAGCTAGCCTAAACCTGTCCTAAACAACCTAAACCTTGGTCCTACCTAACACTAACCCTAAGTAATTAGTAATTTCTAACCATAAAAAATCAGCCGTGATTACAATACTACTAACTGAACACCCCTTTTTTGGGAGAGTATTGTAGGATATATCGGTATCTAAAATAATCCGATAATTGAATAGTTTTATTTAAGGGGCCTAATTAGGGCTTAATAATTAATAGGACTAGGGATTTATTAGGCCCCTACTATAAATTATTATTAATATTAGGCCTACTGTTGAGGTAGAGTATTGTAGAGATATTCTAGATTTAGAAGTAGAATCAATCTAGATCTAGAACTAGTTCTAAATCTAGTAGTAGTAGATCTAGATCTAGCTACTACTAGTACTAGCTAGATTAAATAATAATTGAAGACTTTGAGAGCAAGTACAGTTACACAGTTGTAAGAACTTAACAAGTTAGTTACTAGACTAGAATCTAGCCTAATAAATAAGTAGATCTAGGCCTACTATTATTGGTAATAAATTAAAATGTTAGGCCTATAGGCCATACCTGATAATAAGTTACTAGACTAGAATCTAGCCTAATAAACAACTAGATCTAGGCCTACTAATATAGGTAATAAATTAAAATAGTATAGGCCTAGGCCCTACCTGATATTAGCCTAAGTTTTTTTTTAACTGCCAATGTCAAGAATGTGAAAAATGCCTCCTGTGCCTACTGTTGTTACTGTTACCACTATTAAATAAGGCTGCTGCCATTCATATTTCACAACAAATAGCCCTAGGAAGGCTATTCGTACTCTGACCAATCAGCACAAGGCATTTTTCTGTGATTCTTAAATTCCCCTATTCATGCAATGTAGTACTGTTTTTTTTTTTTAATCTAACCTTATCCCTAACCCTAATGCTTAAACCTAACTCTAGCCCTACCCTAATCCCCATCCTTAATGCCTAACCTTATTGCCTAATTCTAAACTTAATCCTAATGCGTAAGCCTAAACCAACCCTAACGCCTAACAGGAATATGCCAAAACTGTCTAAACCTACCCTAATGCCTAAGTCCAAACTTCACCTTAATTCCTAACCCCTAAACTTAAAGCAAAAATAAAAAAAAAAAGCAAAATAAAACTCCGAGCCAAAATGAATAGAACCCACGCTGCGAATACAACGAGCCGATGTGTAACCCCTTCGACCACCAAGATAAAACAAAAATAATTATGCAAACAGGAGTAGGACAATAAATTTTAAAATAAACTTCATTGGTTGGCTAAATATATCAATCTACGAATAGCCTTCTGAGGGCTATTTGTTGTTAGACACTCACATTAAATAAAGTTAAATTTAAAAAGTTGGCCGTAGATAATAATTTATTCAAGGTTACTGTAGACTCTATACTTCACAGTGGTGGGATTGTTGTGATTTTTAAATTTTAGAATCTAAATTAGGCCTAAAGCATGATATTTAAAAACCAATAGGCCTCATGGGCTAATACAAAAAAAAAACCACCACACATAGTAATAATCGTTTTGATCTGACTAGAGTATTAAATAAATACTAAAATAGGCCTATGTACTACATTTCTTCTTAATTGTGAAATTTGTAAATAGAGTCAGATCTTTAGGTATAATTATTGTATAGGCATAGATCTAGATTTATATATGTCTAGATTAAGAAGAGATAAATACAGACAATTTTGGACGATTTAGAAATTTGAGCTAGTACCTGGGTACCATGTACGTATGAATGATAGATGATATGGTTAAATAGTATTTGCTACTGTTTTGTTTGCTTGATAGAATTATAATGTGCAGTGTGTGAGTATGACACTACATTAGTAGAATGACATAATGGTTGATAGATAGAAAGACTATAGAGGACAGTAATCATTGCCTCTAGTGTTGATTGATGATAGACTTAAGGGATTAAAAAATTATTAGTTTTTTGAACAAGCTAGGTTAAAATGATTTCATGCACACAATTCGTTGTGTTGATATTTGTTTGTGCTAATAATTGAGTGAATTTTGACATCTTTCAAACTTAGGGTCCCTGCTTGAGACTTAGCAATAAGAAATCTGTTATTTGCCTCTCTTAAACTGTATATTGTGAAGTTATAGTGAGTTGATTTAACTAAGATAGGTTTTTATAAATCTTCTTTCAGATCTTCTCCAAGACTCACCATGTTACTTGACACTTGCAATATTTCTAGTACAAGAAGCTGATTGTGAGTTAGTCTGAAGGTTTTAAAATCAAAACCGAGAAAATGCAGTGGGAGCACAGGGTAAAGTTCACAGGTCAAGTCAAGACGGCTGGGATGGAGAAGCATATGACCTGGAAGTCAGGATTTGTTGACTTTGACTTTGATGTTGCGAGCAATGAATGGGTGGTGAAGATGTATTTCAAAGTCAACCCAAATAATGTTTGCCAACAAATCAGGGTAATTTATATTCATTGATTTATATCTAATTGTAATAGTATTCTCTATGGAGTTATTTACTTTGTCTTATTAAAAATTATAATGAGTCAAAGATAAAGCTTGATTTGGCTGAAAATCATAAGGGCCCCCAAAACTATTTTAATGGGACGGCATGGTAGGATGGTAGACTCACTACTGCTAACACTGAAGTCTCAAAATCTGATCATGGGCTTGAGTCTGTAGAACGTCAGTGAGTCCACTCAGCTCTGAATGGTACCATTTTAGGAAAGTAAAAGCGGCTCAGCATAGTGCTGACCACACTATCCTCTCATAGGCATTGTTAATAAAAGTAGGTGAACTTTACTGTATCTGTCCCATGAACCTTTATACTCTAAAGGTTACCTCTAAAAAAACATTTTATGAAAAGTAATGCATAACTATTGTTAAATTGTAAGAACCTTTTAGAAAACTTTGTTTGGCTGCAGCCTGCTTCTTAGTTAATTTGTTACTGATGGTACAGAACTGTATTGGACTTGTGTGTTAAAGGACCAACAAAGTCAGGTCTAGCTTATTTTAACTAATATACCATTTCCAATTCTTTGTGTAATATCACCAGCTAATCATTATATTACCATCAAACATGTCCACTTCTCTGGCAACCTATATTTAAAGTTTTTAAAAATAAACTAATAATTACATTGTTGATAATTGGAATGAAATATCACCAGCTAACCGTTACATTATCATCAAGCATATCCATTTATTGGTAACCTATATTTAAAATTTTAAAGTTTTTAAAAATAAATTAATAATTACATTGTTGATAATTGGAATGGAATATCATTGTTTTTTCCCTTAGATTGGCAAGTCTGTTAGTTTGTCAGTAAAATGTGGGAGACTGATCATTGAGAATAAGAAGGGAGATGGCATTCATATCAAGTTGGCCAACAGTGATCTCAATGTGGCTAAGAAACTTGTCACAGAATTAAAGAATACTAGTGAGTGGTACATTTCTTTGAGCTCTCTTGTCTACATATAGGCTTGTAATGCACAAATGAAACTTTTATGATCTACTTTTTTTTACTGCCAAATTATTATTTTTTTATTTCACAACTTCTCATACAAGTTAATGGTCTACAATGATAACTACAGAAATAATCATTCATACAAAAAATGAATGACTGCATAATTTTTAACAGCTATAAAAGAATCAAATGTCTATGCTGAAACTAGAAAAAATATTGAGCATGGCTGTTTCAAAATACAGCAATTAATTTTACAGCTGCCTTGCCATGAATGTTCATTGGCTCTAATATAAAAAGGTATGATAATGTGAGAATCACATAATCAAGGAAAAATGATTTAATTTTGTTAGACTTAAGATATCTTTCAAGCTAGGAATTTCTAGCAAGTTATAATGAGCAAATACTTTAATTTTACACAAGGATTTCTGGTATTTATATATTTTTACTACTAATTTGGCAACAAACTTATTTTTCTTTACATCTACCAACTGTTGCATAAAATAATTTGACTTGGCACAAAAATTTGTAATTTTTTGACTGTTTTTATTTTTATAACACTGCTTTTGATATCCCACAGTGGAGTCCCTAATGCTACCATGTGATGTAGCAGCTGTATAATTACTGTTTGTTTCTGTTCTAGGTCCCAATACTCCTAAATCCAACAAAGCTGAGGTCTGTGTTACATCTAACATTGCTGTTAGAAAAGGGTCTGAGAATGTCAGCCCTTACATGAATGGGAGCTTATCCAGTGATTCCTCCCCTCATTTGTCAAGTGGTGAAATGTGAGTGTACAGAATTTTATTTTAAATGTAATCTTTGTTATTTTAAACTTTCAAATTATTATATGTGTGGTGGTTGTATGAAGTAGGATTATCTGGTTACGGGCCGACCCGCGGTGTATCATACGCCGCTATTTAGTTGTTGTTTTTTCTACTTTTCAGTAATTCATAATTTGTGAATTCGACAGTACCAATGCTGCCACTGAAAATATTTGCTTTAAAACACTAACCCCCCCCCCCCCCGTGAAAGTAGCCTGCTCTTAGTTACCTCCTCTAAGTTTAAAATCGTTTCAAACTAAATTATCTGCCCCTAATAGCCGTCACCAAACCCGGCTCTATGATTGTTTTGAAAACATTTAGCGTGAACCACAGCTCACCACACCAGACCATGTGGGGGGGGTGGTAGCGATAGAGAGGAAGAGAGGAGACTGTAAGACTGTAAGGCGCGCTTGCAGCTTGTTTTCTAACGTCTCCCAGAAGAGAATTATATATATAGATTTGGAGTCATGAGAAATAGTTTCTGAAAGAATTTGTAGTATCTGTATACACCAGCATGATTCAAAACTTATTGAAACTCCAGCTAATAACTCATTATTTGCTAGCATTGCTACCCCAATTCTCACCCTAACAGCCATCCCAACTTAGAAAAAAAGAATCAACTCTTGAATTCAATACTAAATCTTGATAAGAATCTAAACATCTCGATGTATGTAGGGAGTCAGCATGGTTGTGTTAGTAAAGCTCATGGTTACTAATCTGAAAAGTCTAGAGTTCGAACCCTCGGGCAGATGAGGCTCGTTAGCTGGGGACTGCCACTCTTCTAAAAGAGACAACTCCAAAATTAAACAAGTGCTGCCTTGTAGTTTGTCCTTGGTTGGACAAAGGCAATGGAGGCAAATTCAAAAAGAAAAGCAGGCTGAAATCGGAGTCAATGGCCTCAATGGCGCATAACCAGCTGACACATATACTTAATTAATTCTGTTGGAGGGGATACCTTCCTTCCAATGCTAAAATTAAGAACAAAGAAGAAGAAGAATGGTGTATGTGTAAAAAAATAAATTAGCATCCTTTTTCTTAACTGCATAAACTCTTAGCTTCAGATTATTCACAATGTCATTTAATGTCTAGTTCATAGAACTGCATAGTGCTCTTGTAACCGTTGCCCATGTTGTATTTATAACCCATCTACCCAACAGTTCACCTGTTCAACCAGAGGCATGGCTGTCCAAGAAAACACCTCCCAGCAACCACTTGCCACACACCCCTAACAATGCCTCCAAGCGCAAGTTAGACCTTCTTCCTCCAGAGAAACCAAAGAGTGTGAACAGGCTTAAACACGAGGACTCAGAGCTGACTGATGATGCTCTGCTCACTAACCGCTTTACAGGGTACGAAAGTTTTTTCTGATTTATCTAATTACCTAATACTTTATTGTTTTTAATTTGTTAAACTTTTTTTTCTGTTTTGACTTTTAAAAGATGGTTAAATTTTACATACTATTTAAGCTATGTAACATCAGTTTCAGACTTTTCAAATCAAACAATAGTATTCTAATACAAATCACTTCTAGGCTTTGAGTCTGTAGTGATTGAAATACTTCTGTTACTGTTAGTGTATCAGTTTATGATAGCTGGTTAGAATTCTTCTATTTTTATTTTCAAGCTTTTTTTTTTATTGCCTAGAAAGCTTTATAATACTTACTTTTTAAAATCAATGCACACACACTATTTCCATGACATAAACAATACTCACAATTTGGGGATGAGGGTTGTTGAGTTGATGGACCAGAGTGTTGCATTCATTATATTGGGCTTTGTCCTGAGTGCAAGCTGGAGTTGTCTTTCTCTTGTTAACTAAACACTTTGTCAAGTTGAGGACAGTCATTAAGGATGTAATACATGCACTCAAAGGGAGTGTTGCTATTGGTTGATTTGACATGGCATTCTTGATTTGTACTATCTCTCCTTAACCATTGCACTTTTAATAGATTGTTATTAGACTTTTGACTAGCATAACAGTCAAGTTTTATGTATAATCTAAAATTGCTCAACTTGAAAGTAATTGTCAAACTTTAATGTTCTATACAGCTTTTAGCTGTAGTTGCATAACATTTGAAAGTTCCCCCCCCCCCCCCCCCCCCCCCCCCCCTCCCTTCCTCTATAGAATAAGCTAGCAGTAAGTTTAATTAATGAGATTATGATGGTAAACATAGCTAGAGCAATGTCAGTTTTGAGGTTTGTTTTATTTTTTGATTAATCAAAAACTGACTATGCATTTTAAAATACAAAAACATGAAAAGCATAACTATTTTATTCAACTTTTGGTTTTATTTGAAAATCAGATTATTTGATCTACCAGGCTTTACCCTTAAAGTTAAAATCTAATTTTAATTATTATCAAAATAGTTGCACATGTGTATTTTATAAATTTTATTAAAGGTTAAAGACTTGTTAAAAAACATAGTTGATTTAATTTTAAAAATCTAGTAGGAAAGTTATTGTGTTAAAGTGAATTTATTTCCTCCTATGCTGAGAGTGTACCTAGCTATGGTTCAGAGGCATGGCGGGGGGGGGGGGGGGGGGGTACATATGTCCCCAGGCGCAGACCTTAGGGGGCACCAAAATGGGTCAGAAAAACAAATTAAAATAGCATTTTAACAGCAGTTTTGCATTATAAATATAAAAAATATATGGGGCGGGGGGTGCAAATTGAAAGTTTGAGGGGTGGGGGGTTGAAAATTGAAAATTAAAAGGTTGTTCCCGAGGGGGGGGGGGGGGGCGCCAAATTGAAAGTTTGTCCCCGGGCGCCAGGAAGGGTCACTACGCCTCTGCTATGGTTAGCACCTCGTACACTCAGGTTAAGTGGGGGGGGGTGGGGGGGGGGGGCAAAAAACTACCACGTCTGTCATAATAATATCATATGCTATGCATCATTTAACAATATCATATCTTTTGCATCAAAAATTTTTAAACACCATTTAATCTGTGTATTCATTTTTACAGAGTGAAAGATTATTCTAGATGGTAAGTTATTTTTCTTTTCTAATTTTGAGTTTTTTTCCCCCTTATAAACCTCTTACAATGGATGTGAGTTTTAATTAGACAAACACCATACAAATGTGGATGTTAGAGTGTCGTTATACTGCTATGTGTGTTAACTTTATCAAGAAATATCAGCCTTTATGTTGTCTGAAGGTCACAAAATGCATCACACAACATTCCAGTCAACAATGGGTTAGGGGCCAAACAGTTTTATGGGAGCCAGAACTCTTCTGCTTATGAAAACTCTAATAGGTAAATATTTCATATTTAAACCCTATCATGTTGTTTAATGTTTTAGTGAAAAATGTTAAATTGTTATGTTTATACTGTTACATTTTTAAAGTGCTTAAATTGTTATAAAAAGCACTTCATATCAAGTGCTCTAAAGTGTGAGTGTGTGTATGTTGTTACTACTACACATTCACCATTACAACTATTGTTTATAACTGAGTATACACTCTATCATTGTTTACCTTGACACAGTTCACTGCACACACCTATAGACTTAACTCTGTTTACTTTTTTTTAATCAACAGTTTACATGCTTCACTGAATTGACATTTTTTCCCACAACAAACACACTGAGTACTTTTCACTGTAACCAATAACCTTGACCTACCTGATTACCTGAATATACTCATCCCCCCACACTCAAGACTTCAGTTTTTACCTAGACAGTTTATTTGTGAATACAACAAATTTTTACTCCACAAATTTTTATCAGTCTTTTAAATGATTGGAGTTTTACTTTTACTGCGACTTGTGTCCTTTTTAAAATTCTTACTGTTTGCCCTTCTGCCCAGCAGGGCTATCAGCAAAGGCAGCCAGAACAGTAGTGTTGACAGAACACCCCGGAATAAACGAGCCAGGCTCTCCTCTGAGATGGACCCTGACCAGGAGAATGTTCTGGAATCATCTTCTTCCTTAGTTCCAGTGAACAATAATAGGCAAAGCAGTGAAGAAAATTCTAAGCATTACGCTGAGGGGGAAAATGCTTCACGTACAGTTGGGTGAGTTAATTTTTCTGTTTGGTTTACTTTGTATTACTTAACAGTTTCCAACATGTCAGTGTATGGCTATTAATAGCTATGCATGTTAGGTTAAAGGGGTATGGTTAGAGTATTGGTGCTATCAGTGCTATACAAGCAGTTCTGAAAATAATTTAGTACTGTATACCAATTGTTAGGGTCAGAAACTAGGGTAAGGGCTCTGATTAAGAATATTTGTATTAATTTACTTCAGGTTACTTAACACATTAAGATTCCATTGTTTCATCTTTGGACACTTTGTATGAAACATACCCTGGTTAATATAATTGAATTGGTACATGACAAATTTAAACTTAATATTGCAATGATAGACGGGGGTGGGGATTTTTATACCTGTGTCCATAATAGAATCCCCTTTTAAAAAAAGGGGTGTTAGGTTACTGGTAGTTAACTCAAATACACACATGGCTTGCTAATGTCGATGCTAACCCTAACCCTATTCCTAACTCCAACCCTAGTACTACCATATGCTTAACTCTAATTTATAACAATAAAATTAGTCAAGATTACCATACTACTACTACTACTAACAACCTAACATACCTATTTCATTGATGACTATTATTTGAATTGGGTATCTAAAATCATCCCAGAATATCTTTTTATTCATACAAAACTCTGTATAGTTTTATACTGATGTTTAATAATAGAATCACAGCTTTACTGTAATGTATTGTCTATTTGCTATGGTTGAATGCCAGTGTTTTACCTTAGTGTCCTTGTTTCTGGCAGGTTTGACAATCTGGGAAACACCTGCTTCATGAACTCACCTCTACAATGCTTGTCATCACTAGAACCATTGTCTATAGACTTCCAGTCTGTCATAGCAGAATTTGGGGCTGAACTTAAGCCTAATTCTATTACTAGGTAATATAAATTACTTAAATGTGGTAATAGTTAAGAATTTACATTTTAATGTATTGTACAACTAGTTATAATAAGACATGATTTGACAAGTGTGGAATAGCTAGGATTTATATTTCATGTGTATTGTACAACTGGTTATAAGACATGTGATTTTGCTATGTGTGGCTGAAGTTCTTGCTGTATATTGGACTATATATTTGACAGGCTACTTTACCTGTTGATGAAAGATGTTCGCAAGCTAGACGGGTGCCCAGAAAGAGTAAGGCAGATTCTTCAGCGCCTTAGAATTGATATCAATGGAAAGTTTGCTCTCAATACTCAGCAGGTGTGTTATAGAAAACCATTTGATCTTCCTGGTTTAACCTGTTAATGGTTTTACCTAAGGTTTTTTTTTTTTTTAACTTAAATTTTCAGTGAGAGTGGTCGAATGGTAGAGCATACGACTGATAACCCAACAATCTAGAGTTCGAATCCGGGGTTAGGCTTAGTACAATGCCCTCAAGTCCACCAAGCTCTGGTGGGTACCTGACTCGTGTTAGGGAATGTACAGGTGGCTGGGCATAGTGCTGAACACAAAAAACCATTCAAATTCAGAGGTTATGGAAACAGGTCAACTCTACTTCACCTGCACCATTGACCACCAGGTTTGCAAGGGTACTGAACTACATGCTTTTACTAATGGTGTATTTTTTTGCTTGTGTAGGATGCACATGAGCTACTGGCTGAACTATTGGATCGCACAGACGAGGAAATGAAGGCTATACTGAGGAAGTATGAGGGTGTCACAGTAGGGGTGGGCGTTGTCATTTCAACCACTGTTTCACCTATACAAGCCAACTTCATGTGGTGTTACAAAGTTTCTTTCTTCTTCCATGAGTAAGTCCCTTTGTTTAATATCAATAAAATACAGTATCAATCAAATAATTAAAGATTATCAGGATTTTTTTTTAAATAACATGATTTATTAGGTAACAAATGTAGACAATTATCCTTTTTTTTATGCTAATAAACTATTTGGGTAATATTTTGTAGGTGTAAAACAGAAACAACTTCTCATCAGGAGGAACGCGAGACTACTCTAATGCTTGCACTAGATTCAGACAAGTAAGAAATCTGCATTTTTACATGGATAGTGTATTTAAGAAAAGTTGTATTTTCTTTCAAATATTTGTTCTTCATAGTACAATAGTTTATAAGCATGTTTAGAAGGTGGTATAGTATAGCCATGCGTAATATAAATGTGACAGAATTTACTATAATCCCTAGTATAGTAGTGAGGAAAGTATGTTGTCATTGTTGGTGTGTTAAGGTCATCAAAATCTTGTTCTAATTTGCAGGGACGATAGCCTCCAGGATTGTATAGACAGGTATTTTGAGTCGTCAGAGGTTGACATGAAGTGTGAAAAATGTGGAAAAGATGAGAAAGCCACCATGACCAGAAAAATTGTCAAAAGACCAAGGTATCTTCATATTTTCTCTAATTCCACTACTAGAATATGCATTGAAATTATATACACCATTGTAAACAAGTAATTAAAAAAAGTCTAGTGACAATTTTAGTGAAATTTCTTGTGTTATCTAAAAATAGCTCTGTCGTAGCGTAAATCAAGAGCAGGGTTAGTAAAACCATTGGTTAGTTATTAAAACGTTTTTTATTAATTTTTTTTTAAGTATTTTACATGTTTTATTTACAATAGAGTACCATGACTAAAAACCATTGCGCGCCCAGCTACCGAACGTGACGTCGCAGCCATTGCACGTGATGGCGCAGCTATTGAACGTGATGACGCGTGTGGTGTGGTTGCATAAAATGCCTACTAATTCGGTCCAAATTTTAATTAATTCAAAAAAAAATTGTGACCAAACGAAAGGATATTTTTGAAAACTTTCTTCGGCAATATTGTTCTAAATCAGGGGTCTCCAAACTACGGCCCGCGGGCCGGATGCAGCCCGCGATGTCCTCTCATCCGGCCCGCGGAGATCTTTTTGTCCACGGAAAAAACGTTTGTTGCTGATGGCTGAGGAACCTTGCCCAGAAAAATCAAAGACATGCCTGGGAGAAACTGGCCCCCGAACTGAAATTTGATAGTTAATGCGGCCCTCGGACTGAAAAGTTTGGAGACCCCTGTTCTAAATTATGGCAGGAATCGATTGGTACATGTTTCAAGTCGCTAAGTGGTCTGGTTGCCGAGATATGGGCCAAAAACTGCATTTTTTCGAGGTTTTTTGGCTTTTCCGGCAAATCCATGAAAGAAACCCGGAATTTTTATGGCCTATGTTCATCCTCGTAACTTGCTTAACATAATTGCTTTTGGAACTAGTCCTCGATATTGCTTCGTTGAGGAGGAGATACGACTTAAAGCTGCGGACACACATCCATCCATCCATTCATCCATCCATCCATTCCCAGAAAAGACGAGTTAATAAACGCAATTCTCCAGAATGGAAATTGCGCTAAAAAGTTAACTTGCTTGAAGTCACTGAATAAGTAAAGTGGTTTACTTCATTCCCCACAGAATATTTATCTTAAATTTGCTGAGATACCAGACTGATATAACAGAAACCAAGAAAAAGACGGACAGGGTTTCCATCCCTCGCTACATGAGTATAGCTGAGTACTGTGCTGCTGATGTTAAAGCCCCGCCCCACATGGAGCCCTTGTTTATGCTAGACAGGTAATTGTTTTGTTTACAAACTTCTATTTGGCTTTAGTGTTTTAGTTTTATATTTTGGTCAGTGACCTTGTGTTGGTTGACCCCAAGGTTACTTTGTGTGAAGTCCCTGTTAATTTATAGCAGGCTTTTTCTCAGTGTTACTATATTAGGATGTTTTTGACTATTCTCATTCCATCTTTGGTTGTTTTGTTTTATAGAATTGGCATTACTGTTAAGCACCTTTTTAAAAATAGCAATATAAACAGAAAGTGATATTTCAACGCCAAGGGTAGACAAAGGTACAGAATATAGTTCAAGTAGAGACAGGGCAGTTTTAAACTCAATGGGATCAGAACCTACCAATCCAAATGGCAATAAATCACCTTGCCTTCCATGCATCAAGTTAGGCATATAAACTCTTCTGCCAATCAGCTGTACAGAAATATCACTTTCTGTTTATGTTGCTGTTTTCCAGGAACATCTGCTTCCATCCCTTCTACACCTTTTTAAAACAGCTGCGTGTATACATAGATGAATGCTAATGTAATAGTTAATTGTACAGGTTATCTAGGTAGTGTATACAAAATTGCTGTGTCAATACTTTGCGTGTTATGAGTTTGTAATAGTGTAGACATCCTTGTATTAAATGAATGTTTAACTTGGCTGGTACAGAGAGAACACTCTAAATACCAGTGAACCAGGTGTATCAATACTTTGCGTCTTATGATTCTGTAATAATGTAGACATCCTTGTATTAAATGAATGTTTAACTTGGCTGGTACAGAGAGAACACTCTAAATACCAGTGAACCAGCCGAAGAGGACAGCTCCCCCATAGTGAGCAACAACCCTCAGAAGAAAAAGGTGGCAAGGGTGAGTGCCTTCAACCAGTGTGAGGCTGTCACTGTGTTGAAAAACGAGGATGACCTCCCTTTGAATGTGGAGAGTCCAGATGTACCTGTACACCTGTCTGTGTCCAGGCCTATGTCCGGCGCCAGGCCAAAAACTGTGGCCGTATCCAAGCCTATGTCTGGCGCTAGACCAAAAACTCCGGCTGCATCGAAGTCGACGTCTGGGGCTAGGTCTAAAACAGCCAGGTACCTCAAACCTGGGAAAAACAGGCGCCGGGCTTACATGAGGTCACCAGAGACAAGCACAGAGTTAGACCTGGAAGATATTCCCAAACTTGTCAACCCAAAAGACCCTTATGGGGTGGCATTCCCGGGAGAGACATTTGTTTTTGATGACCGTTGCCACCCAGAGGTGCTGGAGCTGGCTAAAATGCAGAAGGCAACATGGAACAAGATCCAGCAGATGGACGATGAGCTGGAAGAAATCCGGAGGATGAACAACCTCAACAGCTTCTCCGGCATCATCAACCCAAACAATGACTTTTACAACAAAGCCCTGCTAGACCGGTCAGATCTGATGGAGCCGCTGACCATCATCAGTGAGGACATCAACTACCTCAATGTCCACTCCAGCACGCCAAATATATCAGAATTCCAGGATTTGCTGGCCTTGAGCCCATTCTCTGGATCCATTGACCAGCAACATGACACGGCAGTGCGAACTAATAACATGCAACTGTTGAATAATATGTAAGCCATTCAGTCACAGGTTTCATTTGTTACACCTACCAGCTAACGTTTTACTTTTTCTTGGTTCATTCTTTACATACCAATAGTTTTATTTATTGAATTGAACTAATCTTTTTGTTCAATATTGATTTAATCTTTTTTCTCAATAATGTTGATACTTATAGTTATAGATAATACACCTTGAAAATTAATTTTTAATTAGCATATCACAATTATTGATACTATACTTTATATTCATAATTTTGATAGTTATATTTGCATGATAAATAATATATACTTGCATGATAATTTGTTTAAAGTGTTCAGAGTTTCAGCATGCCCCAAGATCAACACTTGCTCTTTAAAACCTAAATATGTAGTATATTATTAAATGTGCGTTAGACATTAGTCTTGAAATTCGAATATAATCTTGTTCGTAAACATCACATTGAATTGGTTTAAAAATGTCATTAACTAATTTCAGCTTAAAGTTAATTTAAAAATGCACTAGACTAACCTAATGACATTAAATTGGTTAAAGAATGCAGTTTAATTTTATTTTGTTCTAGACCTACTTTAAGAAATTATTTGTTGTAGGCCAACCTAACATTTAAATGGTTTACTTTAATCTTTACACTTTGGTTGTACAATGTAGCCTACCTAATGATACAATTTTGGTTTTAGAATGTGCAGTGACCCAGCCCTTGACAACAAGATGGACATCGCTGAGGCAATGGACAAAAACCACACACTGGATGACACGGTGCCATATGACTTTGACCTGCCAGAAAAACAGGAAGAGATGAAAGATGAACCATCAGGAGCTGAGGCAGCCGGCAACAATCAAGTGGTTCTACCTGAAGGTAGGTCTAGCATCCTTGGCTCTAAACCTTGCAACAATCATGTGGCTCTACCTGAAGGTAGGTCTAACATCTTAGACTCCAGATTTATTATTGTATTCAGCATGTTTCTTATTGTAGCTGTACGTAGAGTAATCAAGTACATGAAAATCAATAACTAATTTTCATGGTATTACAAATAAGCCTATGATAGAACCCATATTGATTATGGATTTCTAATGTTGTGATCCCTTGTCTCCAGGTCTAGAAGAATCCATAGCCAGTGATGTAAAGCGATTGGTCAAAGCTCTACTGTCCAAGATTTGGGAAGTCCAGAACTACATGCAAGAAGTTGTGGAGGACATGTCAGATTTGTATGCACAAACTCAGGTCAGATATGTTGTTAACACTTGTTCAGAAAGTTATTCTTTTAAATTCTTTTTATACTTTAATTACCAACTAATTGTGTAGAAGCGCCATATTTTAATTTCGTTGTCTCTAATTCATATTTAATTCAGTACCAAATTTAGCATTGTTTTAATGTAAGTCAGCCGTATTGTAACATTAGACATTTTTATAAATTGCACATCTTTTTCACAGGTGGTCATTACAGAGGTCAGCATATTTGTTGAACAGATGAAGCTAGGGGCTCAAGCTCTACAAGGAGAGGCTGCCTCCCCTCAAAGCCAAAATGGGTATTCCCCTGAGAACCAGATTGCCATTTGTCACACTCTAATTAATAGGGCATTACAATCTACAGAAGACTATGATGGTTTGTGCCAGTTTATTTTTAATTTTTTTTTAATTAAAAATTAATGTTGCGTCAAAATCACAATTACCAATTAAAAATGTATTTATTTTAGCAGATGCCTACATGGATGATGAAGAATGTGAGTTAATTCGTAAGGAGATACTGGTAAAACGTTACAGCTCATACAAGAAGGAAGACCAAAAAGTGAACCATTTGATAGAAGATTTAGGCTTGTATTTGGCTGCTAAAAAACTGGGCATTGCCAAGCCAGACACACCAAAAAAACACAGGAAAAATCAGGCTGCAAGCACAGAGGAAGCTGGAGAGGCTAAGGATAAATCAGTCAGGTGGAAAGATTCAGAACATACGGATGCCCAGGATGATCTGAGGCTGGGTCAGAGTGCTGCCCTGAGTGATGATGAGATCTTCAAGCAGGACGTCCAGTGTATGCCTGAGAGTGAGGGAGCTCAAGCTCAAACAGCTCTGAGGTCAAAGAAAAGAAAAACATTCGATAACGAGACGGAAAGGTCGTCGCAGAAGGACGGCGAGGAGTCAGCTTGGCCGGACGAGCCCGGCCTACAGATAGACACCAGGGCCAGTGACGCTGCAGATGCTTTAGCCCTGGCCTTGACCCCTCAGCATGCAAGAGCCGGGACTTCCCAAACGGAGCATCAGTATTTTCAGTCTTGCGTCTCATCCAACACAATATTCGGGAAGGACGTCAGCTGCTACACAGAAGAGGAGCTTGAGAAGGTGGACCCCAGCGCCATGACGGAGGACGAGATGCTGGTCTATGCACAGGCTCTGAGCAGGATTGAGTACATGAGAGAAAAGAGTGCTAAAGTTGGAGCCTGCAGTCCTATGGAGGTCGGGGATTCTGAACCTCGTTCAGAACAAAAAAACCTTCCGGATGTTATTTCAGCTGAAGGAGCCGCCTATGATGGGGGCGCTAGATCACGTTCAAATTCTACTAACAGTATTCCAGGCAAGGGTGTAGGTGCGAATCCAGACAAGAAGCCACCAGAAGAGTCAAAGCTGTTAATCTGTGAAGAGGATTTGAGTGACGGGGACGAGCCTGATGGCATGTGTTCAGGGGGGAAAGATGAGGAAAAGAAAACCCCACCCTTGCGTAACACTGAGGCTAAAGACATGATAGACGGGCTGTGCAATACTTGTGGTCACATGTTCTGTAATGACTGCCCGTGTTGTGACCTGCTTGACCAGGCGGACTTTGATGGTCAGCCTCTGGACCAGGGACTGTGTATTCCAGAGCCAGATAAAGCACAACACAAGTCGCCGGAGGTGAGCAAGGTTCAGCCGGCGTCTAAAGTTCTAGCAGACAGGTGCAATACATCGCCGGAGAATGTCGTTCCTGTGAAAAAATCTGTCTCACCTGCTTCCACAGCAGACACCAAACCTGCAGCTGCGCCAGTCGTGGAGAAAAAAAGCCCAGATGACCACGTGGTCCCTGCCTCGCCTCTCCCCAGCCCAAAGAAAGATTCCTACTTGTTCTCTCCGTCTAAACCAAATAACCTCACAAAAACCAGAGACTATTCCAGACTCCGTAGCCCATCTGCGTCGCCTAGGAAACGTGGCACTAAAGCCCATTCTAGGTCTGCCTCTGCTTCCAAAAAGTTGGTGTTCCCTGGAGAGGAGAAAGCCCAGACTCCTGGATTTGCAGGTGCGGATTGTCTACCTGGCTACAGTGATGTGGATTTATCTGGCAACTCCTCCCTAGAAGTGAACCTTGACGACAGCTCCTACTTTGACCACAGGGAGGATTGTTTCTACACCCCAACACCTGCTTCAGGCTCACGTAGTGTTCAAGTCTCACCTTTTACCCCATCCGTCAAGCACAACACCAGCACCCCTCACACCTCAAGCACCCCACACCCCTCCAGCATCCCCACCTTCCTCCAGCCGGCCGCCAAAATCCCCTCCATGCAAAAACTGGACTCCAGCCTCCTGCTCCACCCTCCCTCGGACACGGGTTTCCCTGACCCCAGCCCAGTGCTGCAGAACAACCTATCCCAGCCTGAGCCACATGAAGATGAGGCAGGAGCCGGAGCGCCATCGGTCAAGCCAGAGAATTTGGTACTGGACAAGATGTCTGATAAAACCAAGCTGGACAAAACCAACATCAAAATAAAAACCAAACGTTCTGCAAACAGCTTTTCTAGTGCTGGTATGTTCCTTTCCTGTATTCATTTTTTCTATACTTTTAGCTAGTGTGGTTTTAATCCTTAAATAATTCTTTATAATTACTTACTTTTGGTCTTGTATATTCAAAAATGAATCTTGAGATAAAGCAGTCTTGATTTAGCAGTTTTAATGTATGATTCACGGAATAAGCATTTTAAACTTGAGCACATTTTATTTAGTACATTGATATTAAGTCAATAACTTGTCCATTGACAGAGGAAAAAGAGAATGACCCAGCTGATCAGGCCAGGAAAAAACGTTTGGACAACATTGAGGTAAAACAAAATTAAATATTTGTACTAATACTAATACATTTTGGTGACAATTGATTTGGTTTACAATTACTTGGCCGGCGTGACCTAAAAAAAAATTGGAGATGAAACCTGGGTTTTAATCTGAACGTCCCTGAGTCCACCCAACTCATGTTAAAGTACAGGCATGCTGAGCATAGTACTTACCACACTAACCCCTTATATGCAGAGGTTGCTGAAACAGGTGAATTCTACTTGACTTGAATCCATGGACCGTCAGGTTGCTAAAAGACAACTCAACTTACTATTTTACAATGCTATAGCTGCCATAAACTATTTTGTTACAAGTACAAAAAACACTAAAAATACTATTTCAGATGGGTAAAGCAGACTTCTCCTATAGACTTGTTGGTATTGTGAATCACCATGGAGAATCTCTGTATGCTGGTATGTGTTTTTATACAATTGAATAACTGATCATTAAATTGTTCAATACATGGCATTTTAAAATGAAATGTTTTAATGTGAAGCTCCTACATGTATGATCGATTTAAAAACCTTAAGTAAATTGTTAAATATGTGCAGGCGTTTAAAACTAAAACTTAAATGTATAAATAACAAACTCCATCCATGATTAACTTTATTTGAAATTAAAACCTGATCATCAAATTCAATTGTTAACCCTTTGAGCCCTGGCCTCCCTGGCCTAATTTCTCCCATTTCCTGAGCTCCCAGGGCCAAACCAATTTTCACTTATCTGCTTCTAACTTAGCCTATAACTTTTGAACCGTTTGAGATAATCAAACCACATTTGATATCCAGACACACGATAAAAAACAATGCAGCAAGATTCTGAAATTCCTTATTGTTTTGCAATGTAACAGAACAATGTATATAAAACAAACACATAATTATTATCAATACGCCAAGGAGACTGAAGTTTTACAGCATGGCGTGCATCAGAACGTACTAGAACAGTTTCATTGTCACTGTCAATTTCAATCTCACTGTGTTCAGTCTCAAATTCAACGTCACTATCATCACAATATAGACCAGGAATATTATCTTCATCAGAATCAATAAGTAGTTGTATTGCCTGAGATGCAGTCATTCTACTTCTTTTGTTATTTCGGTCTTTTGCTTCATCTTTTGCGCCAACTTTATGTGCTGAAGGCGATTGCTGTGGCCCAGCTTTTCGTTTTGGCGGCATTGCTACGAAATATAAACACTTTTACTTTTCCTAAATCTATTTTTAGAATCATAATCCCGCACTAAAAAGACATATGTGCAGTTTTAGTCAGTCTTCCGCTAATTATATTTAGACAGTATACCAGCCGCTAGGAATATGACGCTAGATCATCGGGCCGGAAAACCGGCTTTTCGGACATGTATGCCTAATGTTGAAGCCGGTTTACCGGCCTGGCGGGCTCAAAGGGTTAAATACATAGACATTTAAATATAAAATGTATAAATATTAAATTCCTATTATAGGTCATTACACAGCTTTTGCTTACAACCTGAGCAAGCAGAAATGGTTCTACATGGATGACAGAAACACCAAGGAAACCACTGAGAGCATGGCAAAAAAAGACAGTTTAAATTCTGGCTACATGTTTTTCTACATGGATAAGTAAGTGGTTAGCTTAAGAATTTATAGGTTAAGTTTACTTAAGTGAGCATTCTTTTTTTTTTTTTTGACGGGTTTCTATTTAGATGGTGTATTCTTAGTTTTCTATTTATATGGTGTATTCTTAGTTTTCTATTTATATGGTGTATTCTTAGTTTTTTATTTAGATGGTGTATTCTTAGTTTTCTATTTATATGGTGTATTCTTAGTTTTCTATTTATATGGTGTATTCTTAGTTTTCTATTTATATGGTGTATTCTTAGTTTTCTATTTATATGGTGTATTCTTAGTTTTTTATTTAGATGGTGTATTCTTAGTTTTCTATTTAGATGGTGTATTCTATTTAGATGGTGTATTCTATTTAGATGGTGTATTCTATTTAGATGGTGTATACTATTTAGATGGTGTATACTATTTAGATGGTGTATACTATTTAGATGGTGTATACTATTTAGATGGTGTATACTATTTAGATGGTGTATACTATTTAGATGGTGTATACTATTTAGATGGTGTATACTATTTAGATGGTGTATACTATTTAGATGGTGTATACTATTTAGATGGTGTATACTATTTAGATGGTGTATACTATTTAGATGGTGTATACTATTTAGATGGTGTATACTATTTAGATGGTGTATACTATTTAGATGGTGTATACTATTTAGATGGTGTATACTATTTAGATGGTATTTTTCTATTTAAATGGTATTTTTCTATTTAAATGGTATTTTTCTATTTAAATGGTATTTTTCTATTTAAATGGTATTTTCTATTTAAATGGTATTTTCTATTTAAATGGTATTTTCTATTTAAACTGTATACATTTGGATTGTGGTTAATGCAGTGACCTGCCATAACTAGGGGTACCTAAGGCTTACTTGTGGTACTGTGATAGTATGTCCATTTTTTCCCATCTTTGTTATTTAAAAAAAATTCTGTGTCATCTACAGAGATCTGTTCCATGACTATGCCAACAAAGTGGAATCTACGGTTAAGACAAGTCATCTTTAAAGCATTGCTGTCAGGGTGCTTAGCTGCTACCTCAACTGTTACCTGTGGGATTCTTAGGCAGGCAACCTCAGCTTTAAATGGAATGTTGTGTTGTGGTTGCTGCATTGTTGCTAATAGAGGGAAGCAAGTATTTAAAACTGCATGATTTCTGGACAGCTGGTTAATTTTTTAACTGTAGGATAAGCAAATTACACAGAAAGGTGATTATCCAATGTTAATGAACAATGACATATCTTGATTCAATTTTTAATGTGTTCTTTAAATTCCCCTAAACATCTCATTTTTTAACTTACCTAATGAACTGATGGATTTTGCTCTGGACCAGGTTTTTATATGCCAGTTGCGTAAAGCCAAAACATATTTTTTTCTTTGGACTGGCTATGAACAGTTTTAGCTTTTTAATTACAAAAATATTTTGTTGTACATGAAACTGCTGGGTGCAATATAAACTAATTGTAACTTGTTGATGTAATGTAACAAAAGTTGTAACATAATTCTGTTCATGTATCTATTTATTAAACTACCAGAGTGTAAAAAGTTCTATTGATGTATATAACTACTGTAAAGAAAGGACTAACATCTGTGTGATGTGTATGAAAGCTGTGGTCAATTAATGTTATGTTTACCAAAGTTCTTGTTAAATAACAATTTTTATGAGGTGTAAATTTTTAAATGCATTACAAATTTAACATGCATAATGTAAATGGCAGTATGCAGTCTAGGGCATTATTTTAGTCCTGGCAGTTTAAAAACTTGACTATACTACATGAAGTCAGTGTTTTAGTATTGTGTTCCCAGTTGAAGTGTTAACCTTATAGTCAACACAGGTTGTCAAAATGTTGTCAATTAACTCCTTTGATGGTATGCTTTAAAAGTTGTGTAGTGTTTAAACATTTCTTTAGGATGGATTTTAAAACTTGTTTTATATACATTGTAAATTTGATTTTTATTGAGTCTTGGATTAAATTGTTTACATTATCAGTTTTGTTTTTTCAATTGTTAAACATTGCTTTAAGAGCGGGAAAATAAGACTGTGGTAGAGGTAAACAAACCCTGGTCTCTTGTTCTGATCTTAGTTTTCTGCAGGTTGTCTCAGAATATGTTCCAACTCAGAAAGGTAGGTACACGACTTCTATTAAGTAAAGTAAATGAAGCTGGACATTGTTGACTCGCCATGTCTTCATAGAAGTTTTAAAAAAAATAAAATCAAACTACCCATTGAATCATTAGGTCTGAAAGGACCGTTAAAATTTTTTTTTATTGGAAACTGATAGCTTCACTATGTAATGGAGCATCGGACCTTAGGTCCTGTGTGAATATGGGGTTTCTATTCCATTAATGTACCAGCTAATATCAGACTAATTACAAATGGAACAGCTTTAATGGAAATCTATTATCTAAATATTGATTAAAATACAACCAGCTTTCGCACTCAGAAAAATCTGGCCAGTTGTTGGAGCGTGAAACAATTGAAGCTAGTGCTGCCAGATAAAATAATAAAATAAATGGCCACATCAATCACGCTGTGTTTTTAAAGATTCCCACAAACAATTTGGTAATGCTACGGTATAGTCTAGATCCATTGGAAAACAAATTAACAGAAAATTCACATCTAAAAAAATTACTAGAATGTCACAAATTATCCTATATCTAGGTTAAATAAATTTACAATACGCTAAATTAGTCTAGCTAGATTCCTAACAAATTCAATCTACTCATTTAACTAGAATAGGTAAAACAGAATTAATGGTATAAATAAAGGGGTGTTGATCAGATAAGTCCCGCCATAATAAACTTGTTCTTTTAGTTTTTTAACCCAACAGTAGAGGTAGATATAAGGTTTTCATTGCGTGCGTCCAAATACATATTTAAATATCTATATTTTCAATGTTGCGTGCTTGCATTAAATAGGGCTGGTAAGTAGGTCACCAACAAGTTCTACGGCTAAATAAAACCTACATGAGCCATAGAACTGGTTGGTGACCTACTTACCAGCCCTATTGTAGCTGGCAAAAAGTGACGGGGCTTAACTTTTCGTCCGTGCGCGTTTGGCATTAGTGGCGGGGCTTATCTGGACAAGACCCGATTTCTTATACAGCCTTAGTTTATCTGGACAAGATCCAATTAATAGAATATTGGTCAGACTGACCACCATTACAAGAGTACCCGACTGGAAATAAAATCGTGTCTGCGGCACAAAGCACTCAAATGTATTCAGTTTCTTCCAGGCATCTCTTCGGAGGGGGGGGGGGAGGGGGGGCGAATTGGGATTTATATAGATAATATATAGTTTTAACAGTGTCCGCCACCCCCCCCCCCCCGAAAATTTTAGCCCGCCCCCCAGAAAATTTCAAGTGCCCCCGCCGCCCCCCCCCCCCCCCCCCCCCCCCCCCGGAAAAAAAATCGGAAGAAAAACTGAATGTATTCCAGCATCTCACGGGTACCGGACTAGAATCATCGTCACAAAGCCAGGCGTCCAGTCTCCGAGTGTTGGCGTCCAGAAGTTCTCGTTGGGGATGTTCTGGCGGGTGTGCTGAAATCAAACAAACAAGCTCAACTAACAATATTTTACAGCTTTATAATATCAAGTCAGAAACAATATTTTTTTTTTATTTTGAGGACCAGAAAAAAATGGCAATTGAAAATGTATAGCCTACCTAATGTTGATTTTTTTAAAACTAATTAAGTAGCCCTATATAAGTTTTTGTTAATAAAGCAAATAGGTCTAATTAACAAATGAGGAAAATTCGGTTTAGTTTTGAGTTTGTGTTATTTATGAAACAAAAAAGCAATAGCATTATTTGTGATTTTTTTTTGTTGCTATGTGTGCTATTTGTGTGTGTGTGTGTGTGTGTGTTCATATTATGTTGTAGACATGATTTTGTCCCCATAGGTACCGGGTAGGTGTGCTGAATAGTTCTTCTGGACTTATGAGTTGCTGGCTGTAAGCGCCCCCAGCCCGGGTAAAGGCGCACCCACCTGTGTAGGGTACAGCTGTCCGTTAGGGTTACAGCTGGTGCAGTTGTCGGACGTGAACCAGAAACCAGCGCCGTAGGTGGCAGCACAGTTGAGGGCGTGGCCGTCGTTGTCCCTGTCCCAGGTGGAGAACGGGATGCTGGACCCTGGCCAACAGGGCGTCATTTGGGTGGCGGGGTCTGGGGATATAAGGGGGCGGCTAAATTTTAGGGTGGGGTTAAGGGGGTGACAGCCCCAGGTAGTAGCGTCAAATATGTGGCTAGCGAGTTAGGGGGGGGGGGGAGTTTATCAATAAATGACGTCACGCTCTTAAAATTATTTTTACTCTCCATCATAACACATCTTTACAATAGGCCAGACGCCTACATGTAATGGCATCACACCTCAGTCCCTCTCCCTCAATCAAAATTGCAGCTTTTTTTTTTAAATCGATATATTTATAAAATATTAACTGAGCTCGGTCAATATTGAATAGCCAATATAGATCAATTTCTATTACAGTTAATAAAAGCAGACTTCGAAGTAACACCACCATTCCTCTACGTTGTCACACATAATCACAAAAGTCCGTCCTCCACCCCCTAGGAGTGCGACATGGCTTATGGACGACCCCCTATACAGAAGGTACAAAACAGCACTTCTACATTTCTATAATGGTACAAAGCCACTGACCGTAAGACCGTGTTTATGATACAAACTAACAAAGCGAAAAATACCACTCGCGCTTTTTTGGTACTGTAGTTTCCCGGAATCATGTTAGCTTTGATCAAATTATTAACAAATGTTGATGATTTCAATTATTAATTTATGTATTATTGAAGCAGTTGTTTAGTTTTTTAAATTTGAGTCCAAAAAAATAGTCCGTAATTTTGTGACGGTGTGTGATGAAAGGAAGGGGGTGGTGGGGAAGGGGGGGGGGGGTGTTCAGATTGTGTGACGTCACACTTTTGCATTTTAAAAAAGACAATGCTAGAAAATTGATTTTAGCCGTTATTTCGCGTTTTAGACAACTATATTAATAAATTGTAATAGAAATTAATTACTGCATGTTGACACAGTTCAGACACGATTTAGGAAAAAATATCGATGTTTTAAGAAAAACTCAACTGCAATTTTGAGGGAGGAGGGGGGGGGGGGTTGTAGGCTGACGTGTGACGTCATTTTAGTGGGGTCTGGCTTTGTGTGACGGAGGGGAGGGGGAAGGTAAAAATCATCCAAAAAAGCGTGACGTCATTTATGGATGACCCCTGTAGAGTTAAAGTAGCCTTATTGGTTCGTGTTGGTTCAAAAATAAAATGGAAGAAAAAATATTACTGGTAAAAATTGATGACCTTAAACACAAACAAAGATCTAACGGTATCCGGATACCAGTATGTCAATAATAACCAAAAACACCTTTTGTTTTCCTCATTAGTCTCCTACATGAAACCATTCAACCGACGCGCTAATACGGACGGAACTTTCTAGCTAAGCCGGAACCGGCATTGTGACGTTAAATGGGAAACCGTGTATAGTGGTGATTGACGGGTCACTTGCCGGTCTTTGACCCCTGTGACCGGTAAAAATCTAAATTAAATTCAGTTATATTTAATCTATAAATCAGGGGGTCTACGTGCTTGAGTTGGTAAAGTTCACGGTTGCTAAGCCGTAAAGTTCAAACCCCTCTGGCAGATGAGGCTAGATAGCTGGGGACAGCCACTCTTCTAAGAGAAAACTCCAAAATCAAACTGCTGCCTTTTACAAAGGCTATTGAAGCAAATCTAAAAAGAAAAGCAGACTGAAATTGGAGTATGTATGGCGCATTACAAGTTGAAATTAACACTAGAATTTAGAACGAAGAAGAGTGATCATTAAATAGATTGAGACACCTGCTAGATGAGATAAAGAAAAGACTTAGAAAAATGTTAGTGTTTTATTATGAACTGGTCTCTGTTGTTGTGGGCTGTTCGAGTGCCGCTGTCCTAGAGGTGGAAAGCACCGTTAAGATTCCATTTTCGAAACCTGGTGGTCCATAAGTAGAGTTCACCCGTTTCTGTATACTCGGTATATGAAGGTATGATGTATTCCAGAGGCGTAGCGAAACAGGGGAGTGGGGGGGGGGGGGTACATATGTCCCCGGGCGCCGACCCTAGGGGGCGCCAAAATGGGTTGGAAAAAAATATTAAAAGCTCATTTTAGCTGCAGTTTTGCATTATAAATAAAAATATATGGGGGAGGGGGGCAAATTGAAAGTTTGTCCCCGGGCGCCGGGAAGGGTAGCTACGCCTCTGATGTAGTCAGCCCAGCCACCTTTACTTTCCATAACATGAGTCAATTGTTCACCATCTGGGTAAACCGAGGGACATCTTGCGGACTCAAGCACGGGATTAAACTCGAGACTTTTGAGCAAGGCGTCGTTCGCTCAATAATCCGACCACACCGTCTTATAGACGAAAGCGCTTTTGGTGTATCACAACTCACGAGTCTAATACTTTAGAGCGAACCGCCGTTGGAAATTTTAATCGCTCCCTCCCTCCTATGTTTGAATGCGGATATGACGGACTCAGAGTGAAAACGGAATTAATAACTATTACCCTAACGAACAGTGTTTCTTCCAGACTTTTTTCTCAGGGGGGGGGGGGGGGGGGGTCACTTGAAATTTTCGGGGATGGGGGGGGGGGGGGGGCGGACACTGTTGAAAGTATATATTTTCTATATAAATTCCATTTCGTTCGGGGGGAGGGGGCTGGAAGAAACTCTGCTAACGAATGATATGGATGTAACATTGTCTTCCTTCCAACATAGGAATACTTTAAAATAAAATAACTATAAAGACGTCTTTCATAAAATTTAGCAGAAGATCACTAATAAAGAAGGAACTATACATACAGTTTCTTTAGTTATGATTGTACAGTACAGAATTTATCGGTATAAGAAATCTTTTCAATATAGTTTTAGGTTGTATCGCAGCTTTCAATAGTTTGCTATACATTTTTTTTAGGCTGTACGCCCAATGAAAAAAAATTTAAAAAAAAAACAAAAAAAAACAACAACAACAATAACAACAGACCAGCAACCCTGACGCGGAGCTGTATGATTTACCTAGTGTACCTATGTGACGGTATTTGCTTACCTACGGGCAACCAGGTTTTAGCGTATGTGACAGCATAGTTGTTGGCTTCGTCGGCCATGATGAAGGTGCCATGGTAACACTGGAAGATTTTGTTCTGGCCATCGGAGAAGTCGGAGAGCTGCACCATGAGAAACTGACTGGCACTGCAATAGAGGATGTAGGTCAACCGTCTCTAGGATCACGTGTGTAGGCAGCGTCGGATTAAGGAGGGCCAGTAACAAGGCCCACCACACACACACACACACACGCACACACAAATCATTTTAGGGCCCCTAGATTTTTCTCTTAAAACAATAATAATTTATACTGTGTTGCAGTGGCGTAGCTAGGATTTTTGGGCCCCTATGCAAAAAGTGTTAGTGGGCCCTCCAGAGGCGTAGCGACCCTTCCCGGCGACCGGGGACAAACTTTCTATTTGCACCTCCCCCCCTCAAACTTTCGAAAAAGGGCCCCTATTTGCCTTGGGCCCCTTTGCCTTGCTTACGCTAGCTTTACGGTAGCTACGCCACTGCTGTGTTGCCGATTTCTTGTTTGTAATAGAATAGAGCGGGAGTGACCTCCCCCAAACTTTCTCGAATAACACTACAGGAGATGGCTACTCGGGGTATAGACATGATTTTTAATCAATTTTTAATTATTTAAACTTTTAAAAATAGAATAGGATCTCGTAGAAAAAAAAGAAGTGCTCACTAAGTGAGAAGTGAATTAGATCTTTTATTTATATGTGAAATTTCGTCTCTCTATCCGAAACAGTACACAAGCCATAGGCTTTTGAAAAATGAAAAGTTGAATAAGTTTCACTTTAAGTTAATGAAAATCGCTGAAAAGTTGGTACATAACTACAAATTTGATATAATATGTATGTATAAAATCTCATCAACCCAGATGTAACAGTACTCAAGTTATCGTGTTGACAAACATACATACACACACACACACAGGGACATATGGACACAATTGCTAAACTTTGTTTTTCCGACTCCGGGAGGTGTAAAACGTCGAGATTTTAAAAAAAATCTCGATTTCAATTTTTTGCACGATTACAATTACTTCCACTATACTTCGTATACGAGAAAGTAAAAATGAATGTTTTATTAGCTTTTATTAAATTTACAATGTCTCTCTGTGTGTATATGTGTGTTTGTTTGTCTATTTGCTTGTTTGTGGGATTGTGGCAAATCTTGTTACTCAGTAGAGACCCGCTTCTAATGCAGCGATTTCTTCATACATTCGTTTCTGATTACAATGCAATCAAAGTCAACGGCCTATATGGCGAATAACATGCCGATAAGTATATTCAATTACTTAATTGTGTGGAAGGAAATTCTGTACAATATTACATTATGATTAAGAACGAAAAAGAAATATGTCTATCTCACGTCCAATTTTTTTAATTAATAATTCAAGGGAAACAACCTTTATTCTATAACTTTATTCTTAAAAGTCGTTGCAAGTACAGAGAAATTTAATAGTAATAGAAGTGTCTATTTTAAAATCAAATATGAATATTAAATTATTTATATAAATATTGTCTAATTTTTATTTTCTATAAATTTTATAATTATCTTTTGACTCTGTTTAAATAGAAAAGTACTAGCTTCCTTAACATCCTTTTTCTAGACATTTGAAAGTTTCCAAATACATAGTTAATAATCATAAACTGTAATTAGAGGAAAGCGAAATTTTATTTTAAAAAGTTATAAGGAAACAAAAGCATTAGCAGACATGTTGTTTTGTAAAATTAAAGCATGCAACCATCTCAAATACACAAAATCCAATTACTACAATATTGTTTTAAATTTCATTACTTCAACCATAACATTACAATGTAGAAATTTCCCATATCAATGGATCTCAAACTTCTTTAGCATACCCTGAGCTCTTTAGCTATTCTCAATAACTATTTTATATATTTCGCTATTCTGTTAAATAAACATTATCTATATATATAATTCTCTTCTGGGAGCCGTTAGAAAACAAGCTGCAAGCGCGCCTTTGCAGTACCCTCTCTTCCTCTTTATCGCTACCCCCACCCCCACCCCTACATGGTCTGGTGAGTTGTAGTTCATTCTAAATATTTACATTTTACAATCATAGAGCCGGGTTTGGTGACGGCTATTAGGGGCAGATAATTTAGTTTGAAACGATTTTAAAATTAGAGGAGGTAACTAAGAGGAGGCTGCTTTCACGGGGGGGGGGGGGGGGGGGTAGTGTTTTAAAGCACATATTTACTGTCGAATTCACATATTATGAATTACTGAAAAGTAGAAAAAAACAACAACTAAATAGCGGCGTATGATATGCCGCGGGTCGGCTCGTTTGAATAAAAACACTAATAACAAAGAACAGCAATTTTATCTTCTTCAATGGGAGACAACAATGGATTCCCTAGACTAAAAAGAAAACAAAGGATACATACTCTGCTATTACAAAAAATTACACACAAAAAATACAAACCTGGTTCAAAATTCCCAACTAAAATAAGAGCATGTGCGTACTGAGATTTAAAATAATTTTTTAAATGTGTAATAACAGTAAAATACTTTCACATTTTTTTTAATCAAATGGTTTGCAAATCAAAAACTTGTTAAAATAAATGAGTACATGCAGAAGTGGTGAAACAAAAAACATTTTACATCAACAGATCTTTGTGGTCTCAGTGAGGGAATATTGCTTCATTAGTAATTAGTTTATTTAGCAAGCAATCAAAATTTTAAGCAAAATTTTAAATAGTTTTTTTTTCTTTCTTGTACTTAAGTCAACCACATGTTATAAAGAAAATAAACAATGGTTGCTAAATCAGGGAAAAATTATCTACTCAAGCTAATATGAAATTTAGAGAAGTAAAATGCAAGAAATTAAGCAAGTATAAAGATAGAACAAACTAGAGGAACCCCTGAGTATAACATGGGTTCAAAAACCTCCACTGAGCCATGCAGTACTGTGTAATACATTTTTTACTGGTGGGACTACTACACAGCGTCAACAAAAGGCCAATAATACATGCTCTAGCTTTAGTTTATTTACACACTATATTTAAATGGTAAGAAATTTAATTATTAAAAGGCAAAAATTAATATTATTAAATAAATTTTAAAAAAAAAAAACCAAACAAAAGCATTATTGGGGAAGACACAAATAATATACGACATCCTCATACACAGAATTTGTTGGCCGGGGAACACAATATAATAGACATTAAAGATACATTTAGAAACCTACATAATAAACGCATTACCACCAAAAGAAAGGGAAGTAGCATACAGAGTGATTTTTTAATACAACACCAGTTTCACGAAATACAAAGTCAAATCAAAATGTTAAAAATAACATGTCAAACGCTTAATCAAAATATACAAGAAACTGAGAAATGTTTGATTTGACGTGTCTCATTGTAATCAACATAACTTTCCTGGTTGCTTACAATTTGTATCATTTTAATTTTCTGTAATCCCATAGTTATTTCAGCTCTACTTATAAGCCCCCCCCCCCCCTCAGCCCACCACGCCGATGAAAAAAAAATCCATTGAATCATCATTTAATTACACATTTGCATTTACAGTTTTAAAAAAATGTAATTAGAAGTATTGTATTAGATCTATGTATAAGTAAACCATCTTAAATGAATGAAAGTAAGCAACAAGTAATAAAGAAGTATTACTATTTTAAATCTGCATCATTCCCCACAAGCCAGAGGCGTAGCGACCCTTTCCGGCGCCCGGGGACAAACTTTCAATTTTGCGCCCCCTTCGGGAGCAAATTTTCAATTTGCACCCCCCCCCCCCACCCCTCAAACTTTCGATTTGCACCCCCCCCCCTCCTCAAACTATTTTTAATGCAAAAATGCAGCTAAAATGACATTTTAATTTGTTTTTACAACCCATTTTGGCGCCCCCTAAGGTCGGCGCCCGGGGACATATGTACCCCCCTACCCCCCCCCCCCCATCGCTACGCCTCTGTCACAGGCCGATGATGAAAACTGTAATACTAAAGCGAACAGGCAAGGCAAACTGACGCTGTAAATTACATGTCTGAGCAGAATTTTTTTTTTAAATTACAATGATACCTCTACGTTAGTCTAGATCTAGTTCTTATGCCATTTTAATTTCTTCACTTAAAATACTATAAATACAATTTATAATAATTTCTTTGAAAAAGAAAAAAACCTACAAAATAAATAATAATTATTTAAATGTTTAAAATAAATTTATATTAAAAAAATGCGTGGGGATTGCTATAGATACAGCTGTTTAAAATGGAAGAATGTTCGACTTAATGGGGCTGATTGTACTCAACATATCTTCAAGGCATTGTTTACATTTTGTTGGTGGCAACTTAATTTTTTAACCGTTTTGTGTACGAAGGAAATTAATGTTCCAATTTCTTACCTACCCTCTTACAATTCCAACAGGTTCCCTTTCCATAATCCACCTATTATCCCTTATCAAAATCCCGCATTATCCCTTCCAGTGTTTCTTTCAGACATCTTTCCAAGGGGGTGGGGGCACAATCCCCGCCACGAATCCCGTCCACCTCCCCGTCCCCCTCTGACGACATACAAAAATATTTAATATAGAAGATCTATAATCAACAATAGGGCTGGTAAGTAGGTCACCAACCAGTTCTACGGCTCAATAAAACCTGCATGAGCCATAGAACTGGTTGGTGAGTCTATGTGACCTACTTACCAGCCCTATTGTCCGCCTCCCCCCATATCAACCAAAAGTTTTAAGTACCCCACTCGCCCACCCCACCCTGAGAGAAATGTCTGAAAGAAACCCAGGCCCCTACCTGCTGGTTATCCAATGAATGTTGTCGTTCCCCAGCCAGAAATCCTGATCTTTAGTAATCTCAAACCCTGCCTTGTATTCCCCCCACGTCCGGTTGAAGTCAACGTTCGCGTTCATGCGTAGCTGCATCAGCGTCAAGCCTTGAGTGCCGCTCATCTGGCATCGCACCTGAGGAAAATCCAATCAATATTCTCATAAAGGTTTTCATTAAAATGAATTTAACATATTTCATCATCATCATTCCTTTGTGCCGCTCATCTGGCATCGCACCTGAGGAAAACCAATCAATATTCTCATTAAGGTTTTCATTAAAATGAATTTAACATATTTCATCATC